TACACTACACTATACTCTACACTACTATACACTAAACTATACACTACTATATACTACACTACTATACACTACACTATACACTACTATATACTACACTACTATACACTACACTATACACTACACTACTATAGGCCTCACGCGACGCATCGCTTAGACCCCCCAACTATCCTACAAAGCGGGCGGGGGTCGTGGGGGGGGGAGCAGCCCAGGAATCTAGTCGAGGACGGCAACACTCCGCGGGACTAGGCCTGACCACGGCACTTTTCGACTCACGGGCGAAACGCTGCGTAGACGTCTGTGGCGGCGCGGTGGGGGGGGGTCTTGAGGTATTGAGGCTACAGACGAAACTATTGCCTCGTGTGGGGTGGAGGAGCTCGCTCTGTTCCGACGTTTCGGGCACGGGCACCACGCACAGCCGAGATGACGTGGGGCCCGTAGCAGGGCGCGTTTAAAACGTAGAGCGGATAGGCGAGCACGTGGGAGCGAGAGGCGCAGATTCCATAGAGCTGATAAGCAAGGCCCATAGACTCAACGCTGCCCATATAAAGGTGTCAGTTGTGTACCAGTTTAAAGGGTAAAACCTACTACTACTGCCCATAGTATCGCTGCAGTAGCCATGGAGTGACGTGTTGGGGGGGGGTGGGGGGCAAATCTTCCAGGGGGTGGGGGGGGGGGGTACCGCCTCCCAGAAAAAAAAATCTAAATTTGAAAACGAATTTCCTGCCTAAAATATTAAAACCTTCACTAACACATGAGATGGACTTTGTATTTATTTTATTACAATATGTCTAATAGTGTATTGTATTACACTGCTCTGCTGTTTTCTTTTTTACCTTTTCTTTCTCGTTGTATGTAATGTCAGAGATTAGGGATTCATAAAGTACAACCACAATCATATAAACATACATCGATGCGTCGTTATATGAAGACAAGTCCAGATATTGTGGCCTAGGTTTAGCTAATTTTTGTTTTAATTTACACAGCATTGCACTTTAATTTGTTTAAATATTTTTTATAGCATTATATTTGGGGCGGGGGACATTGTGAGCATATTTGATTATTGGGAGACATCCCCCACACACACCTCACCTTCACCCTCACTAACCCCTCACCCACCCTAACCCCCACTAACCCCCTCACCCTCCCCCCACTAACCCCTCCCCATAACCCCCAAACCCCTTCCCCTCCCCCCCCACACACCCCCTCCCCCTAACCCCCACACACCCCTCCCCCCCCACACACCCCTCCCCCCCCACACACCCCTCCCCATAACCCCCACTAACCCCTCCGCGCACACGCAGACGGACGGACAGACAGACACAACAAGTAGTTTATAGGTAAGAAGTCACTTTTATTTCCATCCAAGTGATTTCACAGCAACAAACAAGAACATCGACACGAGACAAAACACCTGGCGCACGACAGGGTAGCGCCCTGCGAGTGCACGTGCGTGTGACGATGCCACAGAGCGGTGATGTTGGCGCCCAGCAAGCTGCGTGTGTCTGTGGAACGTCGCCGGCTCAGACTGAGAGTTTGCTGCGAGCTCTGGAGACAGCTGTGGGTAGCAGCTGTGTAGCAGCTGTGTGTAGCAGCTGTGGGCTTGTCGGAGCAGCAAGCCCGAACTTGGGGGCTGTACCAGACGAAAGCTGCCGACTTCTTTGCAATGAAACTCATTTCAACGCGTCTCTTCTGCTGCTGCTGCTGCCACTCTTCTAAGATCGGCGGCTCGTCCTGGAGATTCCTCATTGCTGGATCAGCTGTGCACACGTCATGACGTCAGAGCTCAGCGTGGGAGAGTTTGTGCCGCTTCACACAAACGGGTGAGTCTTTGGCTTTGTGATCAAGAGCTGAAACTATGATAAGTGTTTTTTTACCCTTCTATCTGGCAACAAAAGTGACACCTTTTTTACAAGGAGTCATGTTTGCATAGACCACAATACCTGCAGTCATAATGCAAACAAAAGAACATAACTCTGATAATATATGCACTGTCCTTGAAGTTGATTGGTCCACACCCGAGACAACTTTCCTTAGAGCCTAGTCTCACATGGTGTTGGACCAGATGATGTCAAAAGTGCACAACTCAAGACAACGCACCATCAGAGTATGAGAGCTCGGGGTTAAGCATTTACACCATTGGAACCTCATTTGACAGTAAAAATATGATAAGTGGTTTTTTACCCTTCTATCTGGCAACAAAAAAAGGTGTCCGTTTTGTAGGCAGATAGAAGGGTAAAAAAACACTTATATTTTTACTGGCAAATGAGGTTCCAATGTGTAGACCACTAGCACCAAACGGGTGAATCTTCGGCTTTGTGTTCAAGAGCTGAAACTGGTCGCGGAGACTTAGAACGTCGGGACAGACGCGCCACACGTTGTGACGGCTGCTTGCGTTGTGGTCGAAACATGAGAATAATTTTATTATGTTTTATTTTTATTATTTAATTAATGTTTATTATGTTTTATTTTTATTATTTTATATGTTTTAATTGTTTATTTTTATTATTTTATTATGTTTATGTTTATTTTATTATGTTTAATTTATATTATTTATTATGTTTAATTTTTATTATTTTATTATGTTTAATTTTATTATTTTATGTTTTATTTTTATTATTTTAAAATTGTATTTTATTACGTTTTATTTTTATTATTTTAAAATTGTATTTTATTAAGTTTTATTTTTATTATTTTATTACTTCCCTTCTACGTGATGACTTTACCGAAAGAACCAAGAAGATGAATCCCTGCAGTCACGAAAGCTTTAAATCGAGATGCCTAATCATAGTCGCCAACTCGTCGCGTTGTCTACTCGGTCGTGAACCCTCCCGTAGCGGCGTCGTCCGTGACCGGGTTACGGTACCGTCCTCTGCCTCCCCCTCTACTCCAGCTCACGACGTGGCGGCGGCGGCGGTGGCTCTCATGTCTGTCGGTGGCTCCGAGCTCGCGCCCCGTAGAGTAAGTCCCAGTCCCATAGCGGAGCGGGGGCCCAACGCTCGCCATGGAAACCTGCGCCGAGTCGGTCTTCACTTTCGTGGTGCCGCACTCCGGAGAGATGCAATTGTGTCTATCATGAAACTCGTTTAGTGCACTTACAACTGACTGCCAATCCACCTCCACCACCAATACCTACACCACCACCACCACCACCACCTCCACCAACACCTACACCACCACCTCCAACACCACCATCTCCACCACCAACACCACCACCAATACCTACACCACCACCACCTCCATCACCACCACCTCCAACACCACCACCTCCACCACCAACACCACCACCAATACCTACACCACCACCTCCACCACCAATACCTACACTACCACCACCTCCACCACCTCCTCCACCACCACCACCACTACCACCACCTCCACTACCACCACCTACACCACCACCACCTCCACCACCACCAATACCTACACCACCACCACTACCACCACCTCCACCACCCTACCACCACCTCCACCACCAATACCTACACCACCACCACTACCACCATCTCCACCACCAATACCTACACTACCACCACTCCACCACCACTACCACCACCACCACCACCTCCACACCTCCAATACCTCCACCACCAATACCTACACCACCACCACCTCCCACTACCACCACCAATACCTACACTACCACCACCTCCACCACCACTACCACCACCTCCACCACCAAACCACCAATACCTACACCACCACCTCCACCATCAATACCTCCACCACCACTACCACCCACCACCACCTCCACCACCAATACCTCCACCACCAATACCTACACTACCACCACCTCCACCACCACCACCTCCACCAACCACCACTGTACCTGCATCTCCGCCTCTTCGCAGGTCAACTCCTGCTCGCCCTCCGTGTCCGCCGTGTGAGCCAGACGGAGGTGAACGAGGGTGACGGCGATCAGCAGAAGAAATCCGGCGGCGCAATAAACGCCGCACATCGTCAAGGAAGCGGCCGGGCGGGTCTCCACTGTCACAGGGAGAGTGTGAAACATCGCTGACACGCGGGAGGACACACACGGAGCTCACGCTACTGACGGGGTCACTCTGTCACAGTTAACGTCTACCTGGCCCCCGTGATGATGATGATGATGACAGAGAGAGAGAGAGACGCAAACTCTAAATATGCATCAGCAGGCATCATCAGGGTCGGGATCGAACCCACGACTTCCCGCGTACCAGGCGAGGTAGTCAACATCTCCTAGCCACCCTGATGATGATGATGACAGAGAGAGAGAGACCCACGACCTCCCGCGTACCAGGCGAGGTAGTCAAAATCTCCTAGCCACCATGATGATGATGATGATGACAAGAGAGAGAGAGACATGCAAACTCCTGTAGACCAGGCGAGGTAGTCAACATCTACCTGGCCACCGTGATGATGATGATGATGACAGAGAGAGAGACACGCAAACTCCTGTAGACCAGGCGAGGTAGTCAACATCTACCTGGCCACCGTGATGATGATGAGAGAGACACACAAACTCTAAATATGAATCAGTAGCCGTCATCAGGGTCGGGATCAAACCCACGACCTCCCGCATACCAGGCGAGGTAGTCAACATCTCCTAGCCACCCTGATGATGATGATGATGACAGAGAGAGAGACACACGAACTCCTGCGTACCAGGCGAGGTAGTCAACATCTTTCTGGCCCCCGTGATGGTGATGATGATGACAGAGAGAGACACACAAACTCCTGCGTACCAGGCGAGGTAGTCAACATATCCTAGCCGCCCTGATGATGATGATGGTGAGAGAGAGAGACACACGACCTCCCGCGTACCAGGCGAGGTAGTCAACATCTCCTAGCCACCGTGATGATGATGAGAGAGAGAGAGACACACGACCTTCTGCGTACCAGGCGAGGTAGTCAACATCTCCTAGCCACCGTGATGATGATGATGATGACAGAGAGAGAGAGACACACGACCTCCCGCATACCAGGCGAGGCAGTCAACATCTTCCCGGCCCCCGCGGTCGTCGTGGCGAGCGAACGTCTCCCCGCCCGCGTCTCTCGCGGCACGACGAGGAGCCAGGCGGAGCGCCGAGCGAACCCAGCGGCGTTGACCGCCAGGCAGGTGTAGCGGCCAGAGTCGTCCACGCTGACGTTACGCAGGTAGAGCAGCTGCGTCGTCTCCACGTCCGAGACCTCCACGCCGACAGTCTTGGCACGGAACGACGGGCGGCACGGAGCGAGCGAGCGAGGGGGGTGAAGAGTCTTGTGTTGCTACCCCCCCAAGCGTGGTTTGTTGTTGCGGTGTTTGGCGTTGCTCAGCGAGCGTGAAGAGTGTAAGCCAAGCGGGGGCTTCTGGGTCCTATTGTGTTGAGAGTGTGGCGTCGGTCTACACTGAGGGTGGGTGAGTGAGTGGGTGGGTGGGTGGGTGAGTGGGTGATTGAGTGGGTGAGTGAGTGGGTGAGTGAGTGGGTGAGTGAGTGGGTGAGTGGGTGGGTGGGTGGGTGAGTGGGTGAGTGAGTGGGTGAGTGAGTGGGTGGGTGGGTGACTGGGTGGGTGAGTGGGTGAGTGAGTGGTGGAGTGAGTGGGTGGGTGAGTGGGTGAGTGAGTGGGTGGGTGGGTGGGTGAGTGGGTGGGTGGGTGAGTGGGCGGGTGAGTGGGTGACTGGGTGGGTGGGTGAGTAGGTGGGTGGGTGAGTGGGCGAGTGAGTGGGTGAGCGTGTGAGCGAGCGGGTGAGCGAAGCGAGCGGGTGAGTGAGCGGGTGAGCGGGCGGGTGAGTGGGTGGGTGAGGTGAGTGGGTGGGTGGATGGGTGAGCGAGCGGGTGAGCAAGTGAGCGAGCAAGCAAGCGAGTGAGCAAGCGAGCGAACGGGCGAGTGAGTGAGTGAGCGGAGCGAGCGAGCGGGCGAGCGAGTGAGTACCCCCGTGCCTCGCCCACTCACCGTGAGGATGCGCACGTAGGGAGAGCCGTTGGGCGCCGCCAGGCTCCCGTTGACCACCACGTGCTTGAGCCACTGCACCGCCCCCGCCCCGTCGCTCTGCAGGACGACGCAGCGTAGCCGAGCGTCGCTCCCCGCCGCCGCCGTCACGTTGGCCGGGAGGCCGTCCCGCAGGGAGGGCCGCTGGGGCTGGCGCCGCTCTGCACGCCGCGAGGGGCGGCGGGGGGTGAGAGACGCGGCGGCGGCCGCAGAGAGAGGGCGGCTCGGCAAGGCGAGGTCATTTAGCATTTTTACCGGGTGAAAGGGTAAAGGTAAGGTCATTTAGCCTTTTTACCGGGTGAAAGGGTAAAGGTCATTTACCCTTTTTACCGGGTGAAAGGTTAAAGGTAAGGTCATTTACCCTTTTTACTGGGTAAAAGGGTAAAGGTTAAAGGTAAGGTCATTTACCCTTTTTACCGGGTGAAAGGGTAAAGGTGTCGACATGCCAAGGGGTAAGGTAAAGGGTACAGGGTAAAGGTAGCTCGGAAGAATTACCCGGTAAATACGGTGCCTTGTTTACCGATAAAAGCTCCGTGGCTCAGTGCGTGGCAGAGGTCGCAAACAGGTTTTGATTCCTTACCCGTACCCGGTCGCACCAGGATCGCAAACGGGTACCCGTACCCGGCCGGGTACGGGTACCTGAATACGACCTCTGGGATGAAGCCACGTTGCAGGCGGGTGGGTTGATTCTAGGAAATTGAATTGTGAGAAGAGACAAGACGTTGGGAAATGAATGACAAACGGTGACTCACCAGTGACTCACGGTCTACCCGTACCCGGCCGCACCAGGGTCGCAAACGGGTACCTGTACCCGGCTGGGTACGGGTAGCCGGGTATCGGGTAGGGTACGGGTATCGGGTAGGGTACGGGTATCGGGTAGGGTACGGGTATCGGGTAGGGTACGGGTATCGGGTAGGGTACGGGTATCGGGTAGGGTACGGGTATCGGGTAGGGTACGGGTATCGGGTAGGGTACGGGTATCGGGTAGGGTACGGGTATCGGGTAGGGTACGGGTATCGGGTAGGGTACGGGTATCGGGTACCCGGTTGCGACCTCTGCCACAGAGAGAGAGAGGAAATAGGTGGGAGGGTCTCGTTAAGAAATGGATTTTGATGTAAACTGCCCCTGATTGAAGGCACTTCATGCCCACGTGATGTGAGAGCCCCCCCCCCCCCACGTGATGTGAGAGCCCCCCCCCACGTGATGTGAGAGCCCCCCCCACGTGATGTGAGAGCCCCCCCCCCACGTGATGTGAGAGCCCCGCCCACGTGACTTTAATTTTATTGGTTTATTTTTATTATTTTATTTCCCTTCTACGTGACTTTATTTTTATAATTTTATGTTTATTTTTATTATTTTATAACATTGTATTTTATTATTTTATTATGTTTAATTTTAATGTTTTATTTTTATTATTTTATTTGTATTATTTTAACATGTTTTATTTTTATTATTTTATTGTTTTATTTGTATTATTTTATTATTTTATTTTTATTATTTTAAAATTGTATTTTATTACGTTTTATTTTTATTATTTTATTACTTCCCTTCTACGTGATTTTACCGAAACAAAAAGAACCAAGAATATCAATCCCTGCTGCAGTCACGAAAGCAGCTTCTTTAAATAGAAATTGACGCCACGAAAGCGACGTGACAGTTGGTCACCTTCGAGAGCGGCCGCCAGCACGGACAAGATGGCGGCCATGACCACGAGGAGGAGGAGGAGAGGAGGCCCCAGACGCCGCCTGCTGCTGCTGCTGCAGCTGAGCAGGAGGGGCAAGGAGACGGAGCCTGCGGACATCGTGGTGGTGGTGGTGAGTCGTGGTGGTGGTGAGTGTGGTGGTGGATCGTGGTGGTGGTGGATCGTTATGGTGGATCGTGGTGCTGGATCGTGGCGCTGGTGGATCGTGGTGCAGGATCGTGGTGCAGGATCGTGGTGCTGGATCGTGGTGGTGGATCGTGGTGGTGGATCGTGGTGCAGGATCGTGGTGCAGGATCGTGGTGCTGGATCGTGGTGGTGGATCGTGGTGGTGGATCGTGGTGCTGGATCGTGGTGCTGGATCGTGGTGGTGGATCGTGGCGCTGGTGGATCGTGGTGGTGGATCGTGGTGCTGGATCGTGGTGGTGGATCGTGGCGCTGGTGGATCGTGGTGCAGGATCGTGGTGCTGGATCGTGGTGGTGGATCGTGGTGGTGGATCGTGGTGCTGGATCGTGGTGGTGGATCGTGGTGGTGGATCGTGGTGCTGGATCGTGGTGGTGGATCGTGGCGCTGGTGGATCGTGGTGCAGGATCGTGGTGCAGGATCGTGGTGCTGGATCGTGGTGGTGGAGACACATACAGATACACAGAGAGAGACAGAGAGAGAGAGACACACAGAGTGATTTTACATTAAATCACTGATTTTAAATGAATTAACTGTGATTTAATTTATCATTGCGATTTTAAATTAAAGCACTGTGATTTTAAATGAATTCACCATGATTTAATTTATCACTGTGATTTTAAAATAATTTACTGTGATTTAATTTATCACTGAGATTTTAAATTAACTCACTGCGATTTAATTAATTTTATATTTTCTACCCACGTGACTTTACCGAAAGAACCAAAGACTATGGACCCCTGCAGTCACGAAAACTTAAAATCCAGAATGTCGCCGCCACATTCACGCAGATAATGTGTAGTGGCGTGTGGTGTGTGGTTGGGAACTCAGGCAAAACCTACTGATTTCACAGGTGACGTTTTTTGACACGAAGTCGTATCAGGTGGGAACTCAAGGCCGGGCTCGTCGCATTTGCAAGTGACCTGGGTCCCCAGTGAGTCACGCGGTGACAGATCGCAGTGGAGAGAGACGGGGGAGGTAGTGCGTTGACGGGCGCTCTACACCACCAGCACCACCACTCGTTGTGGTGTCGACACGTAGACATGCATACCACTCTACTGAATAAGATCTAAGGAGACGTCCATAAATGACGTCACGCACCTGGGGGGGAGGGGGGGGGGTCAGACATTTGTGACGATGTGTGACGAGGGGGGGGGGGGGGGGAGAAATGTGACGTCACATCAAAATGCGCAACTTTCAATAAATATATACAACACGTTCTACTTAATTAAATAGACTTTTAATAAATATAGACAACACGTTCAACTTAATTAAATAGACTTTCAATAAATATAGACAACACGTTCAACTTAATTAAATAGACTTTTAATAAATATAGACAACACGTTCAACTTAATTAAATAGACTTTTAATAAATATAGACAACACGTTCTACTTAATTAAATAGACTTTTAATAAATATAGACAACACGTTCTACTTAATTAAATAGACTTTTAATAAATATAGACAACACGTTTAACTTAATTAAATAGACTTTTAATAAATATAGACAACACGTTCAACTTAATTAAATAGACTTTTAATAAATATAGACAACACGTTCTACTTAATTAAATAGACTTTTAATAAATATAGACAACACGTTCTACTTAATTAAATAGACTTTTAATAAATATAGACAACACGTTCTACTTAATTAAATAGACTTTTAATAAATATAGACAACACGTTTAACTTAATTAAATAGACTTTTAATAAATATAGACAACACGTTCACTTAATTAAATAGACTTTAATAAATATAGACAACACGTTCTACTTAATTAAATAGACTTTTAATAAATATAGACAACACGTTCTACTTAATTAAATAGACTTTTAATAAATAGACAACACGTTCTACTTAATTAAATAGACTTTAATAAATATAGACAACACGTTCTACTTAATTAAATAGACTTTTAATAAATATAGACAACACGTTCTACTTAATTAAATAGACTTTGAATAAATATAGACAACACGTTCTACTTAATTAAATAGACTTTTAATAAATATAGACAACACGTTTACTTAATTAAATAGACTTTTAATAAATATAGACAACACGTTAACTTAATTAAATAGACTTTTAATAAATATAGACAACACGTTCACTTAATTAAATAGACTTTTAATAAATATAGACAACACGTTCTACTTAATTAAATAGACCTTTTAATAAATATAGACAACACGTTTAACTTAATTAAATAGACTTTTAATAAATATAGACAACACGTTCAACTTAATTAAATAGACTTTTAATAAATATAGACAACACGTTCTACTTAATTAAATAGACTTTTAATAAATATAGACAACACGTTCTACTTAATTAAATAGACTTTTAATAAATATAGACAACACGTTCTACTTAATTAAATAGACTTTAATAAATATAGACAACACGTTCTACTTAATTAAATAGACTTTTAATAAATATAGACAACACGTTCTACTTAATTAAATAGACTTTGAATAAATATAGACAACACGTTCTACTTAATTAAATAGACTTTTAATAAATATAGACAACACGTTTAACTTAATTAAATAGACTTTTAATAAATATAGACAACACGTTCAACTTAATTAAATAGACTTTTAATAAATATAGACAACACGTTCTACTTAATTAAATAGACTTTTAATAAATATAGACAACACGTTCTACTTAATTAAATAGACTTTTTATTAAATCTTTTCTACAACATCAGAGTGCAGCGCCACATTAATTAAGCACGACAATGACAATAGTTTTCAGCGATTTAAAGCATGTTTTTTGTTTTGGGGGGGGGCAGAGCTTTGTAACGTCACATTTGAGGGGGGAGGGGGTCAGACATTTGTGACGATGTGTGACGAGGGGGGGGGGGAGTTTGAGAAATGTGACGTCACATCAAAATGCACAACTTTTAATAAATATAAACAACACGTTCTACTTAATTAAATAGACTTTGTAATGAATGTTTTCTACAACATCAGAGTGCAGCGCCACATTAAATATGCACTACAATGACAATAGTTTTCTGCGATTTAAAGCATGTTTAATATTTTCTTTTGGGGGGGGGGGGGGGCAGAGCTTTGTGACGTCATATTTGAGGGGGGGGGTCTGACTTTTTGTGACGCTGTGTGACAAAGGGGGGGGGGGTCAAAAATCGTCCAAAATCGCGTGACGTTGGAGAAAATATTTATTAAAAAGTCTATTTAATTAAGTAGAACATGTTGTCTATCTATCTTCTATCTTACCTATAAACGTCACTTTTTGTCTGTCTGTCCGTCTGTCTGTCCGTCTGTCTGTCTGCGTACGCTCGCTTCCGGGGGATTTAGCTCTCGGACCGTGAGGTTCGCCGAGATTAAATTTTGCAGGTGGGCACGCCCCCGGCCCGCGGTAAACTTACGCATTTCCGATTTTTCGTCCGTCGCCTTTAAATCGGTCCGATTATCGATTTAGTGCGATTTCTCTTTATTTATTTACTATTGCCGACCGGCGCGTGACGAAGCACGCCGTTGCGCATGCGCGAGAAGCCGACCACGGCGGTTGCCCCTGGCAATGGGCAGCAACGCCGTCGCTGCGGGGTGGACGCCATTTTTAATTCCCGTTAAAAATATGCACACGCATTAACACGCGACGCTGAGGTAAATACATCAAAGTTTCACGTCCTCTTCACTCCCCCCCCACTCCAGTGCGCGCAATTACTATTATAGGGTCTGTAGATAATACAATTATAGCGATTAGACAGTATTATTCTAGCGCGGAGTGGGGGGGGCCCATTACCTTAGTATCTGTGTATATATGTAAGGTTATTAAGAAATATATTTTTCACCCGGGCAACGCCAGGTACTTCTGCTATCTCTTCTTATTTATAAAAGTCTCCGTGCGCTCGCGCTTGCGGGGGATTTGGCTCTCGGACGGTGGGGTTTAAGACCGAAATAATCTGCCGGCCGGCACGCCCTAAGCCCCGTGGTGGGAATAGTCTATTCCGTTTTTACATCCGTAAACTTTAAAGTAGTTTAATTAACACATTTGTGCCGTTTCTATTATTCATTATTTACTTATTGCACGACATCGACCGTACCAACTGACGGCAATTGCGTGGGGGGGATGGACCCTACCAAGTGCTGCGCGTTCGCTCGAGCTCACGGGGGACATTTCCTTTTTCGCGTTTTACAGGCAACACGTACACACATGACGCTGCGGACATTTCTTCACAGTGTCATGTCCTCTTCGCCCCCCCCCCCAACACGATGCGTCCAGTTTATACTACAGACTCCGTAGATAATAATATTTTACTGCTTACATACCATTATTCTTGCACGGCCGGGGGATGCTGGGGAGGGGGGGGGGTAGCGGCCCAGCCCCTAGCCTGGCAACGTGCCAACTCCGCCGCCTCGCCAATCTAGGCTAAGCATGGCACAAGGCCTCAACACGCCTATGGTAAGTACAGAGTTCCTTGCTTCTTACGCTAACAACTCAAGCCCATTGTTTACTATTGTTAAACACATTAGTTTACAAACATTACAATAATAATGTTTGTGTGCAGATAAAAACTCAGCTTCATTGTTTACCAATATGAAACAAGTTCAAAGATGTTACAATAATTATGTTTGCGTGAAGATAACAACTCGGGTTCATTGTTTACCATCATGAAACGAGTTGACATGTTACAATAATTATGTTTGTGTGCACAAAACTCTTTTTGGATTTTTGGGTTGCTCAATTTCCCCTTTTTTGCTGCGCTTTTATAACGCTGCCACGGTCTACTGCCAGTCTGTGATTTCTGCTTATTTCTTAAATGCATTTCTATTGTTTCCATCGCTCACGTCACGCTATTTACTCATACGTAGTACTGCGATACTGATAGCTGTGCCATCATCGGGGATTGCTGTGCCTGTCGATGTGTGTGTGTGTGTGAGTCCATGTGTGTGTGTCAGTCGATCTGTGTGCGTGTACGTCCATGTGTATGTCAGTTCATATGTGTGTGTGTTAGTCCACATGTGTGTACATGTGTGTGTCACTCGATGTGTGTGTGTAAGTCAATGCGTCTGTGTGTGAGTCCATATGTGTGTTAATCCATGTCTGTGTATCTAAAGTAGATATCTGTGTGTCACAGTCCATATGTGTATGTGTGTGTAGGGCTATGTGTGTGTCAGTCTATGTATGTGTGAGTTCATGTGTGTGTGTCTTAGTGCATATGTGTGTAAGTACATATGTGTGTTTACATCAATGTGTGTTTTAGTCCACGTATCGATGTGTGCGAGTCGGTGTGTGTGTGTGTGAGTCGCTGTGTGTGTGTGTGTGAGTCGCTGTATGTGTGTACATCCATATATGTGTGTGTAACTCCATGTGTGTATATCTCAAGTGCATGTCTGTGTGACAGTCCACATGTGTATGTGTGTGTACGGCAATGTGTGTATCACTCTATGTATGTGTCGCTGTATGTGTGTACGTCGATATGTGTGTGTAACTCCATGTGTGCGTATCTCAAGTGCATGTCTATGTGTGTGTGAGTCCATATGTGTGTGTCTGTAAGTTGATGTGTTTGTGTGTGTCAGTCCATATGTGTGTGTGTTAGTCGCTGTGTGTGCATGCCTCCATGTTAGTCAGTGTAACTCCATTTCTTTGCGTGTCTGTAGGTCCATGTGTGCATCTTAGTCCATGCGTGTGCTTTATTGACCTGCTCAAGGCCTATAATACCATCAGTAGGCCTGGACTCTGGGTTGCTCTTCGTGCTTTCCGAGTCCCGAACCCACTCATCACCATCCTTAAGGACCTTCATGATGGTGAGCGGCCTCGCGTCAGAGCCATTCCCTTTACACCTTGGGGTGCAACAGGGATGTCCTCTGGCTCCCACATTGAATGTAGTTCGTCGAGCCTTCCATGCCTGTACCGGAAGAATTCCCATCTGGTACAGATACAATGGGAGGCTGATCGATGCCCGGGTGCGGTCAAGGGATGGATCCCTGTTGCTCAACCACGTTATGTATGCCGATGATCTGTTAATGGCTGCTCACTCGGAGGAGGAGTTCCAGGTGCTGCTGCTGAACCTGGAGCTTGCCACCAACAGGTGGGGCCTTACCATCAGCCCAACCAAAGCTAAGCACCTGCCTGGCTATTTTGTACCATCGGACACTCTACCCCCACAACTCCCAATTGGTGATGGGCCAGTTGTGGAGACAGTGGAGAGTTTCCCTGGGCAGTGTGCTAATGACCGGCTCCGGTTTAACAGCAGAGGTCTCACTCCGAATCAGTCGAGCTGCAGTATCTTTTCATTGGCTGCGTAACGCTGTGTGGAAGCTACCTGGTCTGTCGCTCCGTACGAAGCTTCAGGTGTTCTCGGCCACGGTCATTCCCTCCCTTCTCTACGATTGCGAAACTTGGACCCCCCTAATGGAACATCTTCGCCAGTTAGAAACATTTAGGCTGGCCTGCCTACGATCCATCCTGGCTTTAACCAGGCTGCATTGTGTGAGGAGCTCACAAATCCTTGAAAGATGTCGACAAAGTCCCATCGGTGACCTCCGGCAGGCAAGGCTGCGTTGGCTGAGTCATGTAGCCCGCATGGCCAGCCACCACATGCCTAAACAGCTTTTGTTCCGCCGGATCGAGGGGGCTAAACGGGTGCGGCACGGGCTGGAGAAGACATGGGAGTTATGTGCTACAGGAAGACTTGGAGCTGAGTCCACTTGTGGATGACTGGTACCAGCCGTGTCAAGATCGGCCACTGTGGAGGAGGCTCCTGAAAGACGCTACTGGGCAGTTGGAGGCAGTCGCCCTCCAACAACAACGGAGGGCGGAGGAGCGACGCTCACAACAACGAGCGGAGCGCCGGGTGGCTAAAGCACACAAAGTTGCCACAGTAGGGGCCACAGGTGCTGCATCAGCCAGTCGTCTCAGTCAGTCGACCTGTGCCATCTGGGTTTGCCCCGTGACCTCTCGCCAGCGGGCGTTCGACACTTCACATGGCCTCAAGGTGCACATAGCCTGGCACAAGCGTTGTTGTGACGTCACCGCCACTTAGTGGCGAATGGCGGTTGTTGTTCAGTCTATGTATGTATGTGAGAGTCCATTTGTGCGTGTAACTCTATTTTTGTGTATCAATGGATTTGCGTGTGTAACTACATGTGTGTCTGCCTTTCTCGCCCGGGCAACGCCGGGTACTAACCGCTAGTTATTCAAAAAGCGGGAGCTACCTGTTATAAATTAATTGGAAAAGCCGTTCCGATTTACAAAACACCGTTTAACACGTAAATCGAGGGGTACCCTGTATATCACTGATGATACAGCCTCAAATGATATTGTCCACCGTATCCTGGTAACTCTGTAGTTTTCGCTCATCCGTCGTTTGTGTTGTGCAAGTACGATTTCCATTGGGTGCGAATAAAATTCAGAACCGAATGATCGGTTGTGGCTGACCGAGTTCGAGTCGGCAAGTTCCGTTTCAGTCGTTTTGTTTTTGTTGCCGCGTGTATCGCGTTACAAATTGCGAATGTACCCCGACGCGAATAAAGAATGTTAACTTCATGTATAGTGGTGACCGTGTCTGTGTGCAGAGATGGTTTATGTCTGTGTATGCACGGGAGACCCTTTAATATCACGGGGTTACCCGTCGCCTTCTTGTTTCTTTCGGTAAAGTCACGTAGAAGGGAAGTAATAAAATAATAAAAATAAAACATAATAAAACAATTCTCACGACGTTTCGGCTACAACGCAAGCAGCCGTCCTCAGGTGAAGAATGAACATTCTTCACCTGAGGACGGCTGCTTGCGTTGTAGCCGAAACGTCGTGAGAATTGTTTTATTATGTTTTATTTTTATTATTTTATTACTTCCCTTCTACGTGACTTTACCGAAAGAAACAAGAAGATGAATCCCTGCAGTCACGAAAGCTTTAAATCGAAATTTACCCGTCGCCTTTTCGGCCTCTTGCGGGCAACCTCTTGTATGCCAATTGAGCTATTGCGGGGGTCTTGGCGTTTCGCGAGAGGACTGCGCCATGGTGTTGCGTGGCTGAGACCGTAGACCAGCGGTCGGGAACCTATGGCTCGCGAGCCATATATGGCTCTTCCGGTGACGGCATATGGCTTCCAGACAATTTTGAGTTGAAAATAATAATAATAATAAAATTAAAATAAAATCAGTTTGGAACTGGTTTTAAAATACTTGTGATATTGCTTAATAATAGTGTGTCATTTTAAAGTAAACAGAAATTAGTTTTGAAGTTAAAATTTCTCGGCTCACGGGTCCCGTGACCAGAAGTCGCATTAAAAGTAAGACATTTAATTTATCATACGTTAAAAATACTATATGGCTCTCAATGAAATATATTTAGAAATATTTGGCTTTTATGGCTCTCCCAGTCAAAAAGGTTCCCGACCCCTGATGTAGCCCGTGGTACAGGGCAGGCAGTCCGTGGTGCCACTCGACACACTGCTGGGGCACGCGAGGCGGTGGGGGGTGGCCAGCACCACGCGCGGGCGCCTTTGTCTCCCTCGTGGCGTCATTTACACACCGCACCAGGTACTACTTTAAAGCTGAGTCGACATAGGGGAGGTCCATGACTGGTACAGATAATAGTCACTGATGTTGGCCGTGAGCGGGAATCGAACTCGGGTGGCTGGGTTCGTCTCGAGGCGCGCGGACTGCGACATTCCCGACTTACGAACACATGGCAGGAATTGGGATGTTCGTAAGTCGAGGACTGCCCCAATGACGTGCAGGCCGTGGAACAGCGGAAGAATGATTTTCACGTAATCTCTTATTTTTAAAAATCCTTTATATTAAGTTCGCTTGCTTGCTTGCTTACGACCGTGCAAATCTTTCGGTCGTTTTTTAACCCACTTCCCGTGATCCAATCGAGCTGACATTTTCCACACAGACTCGTTGTGCGAGACAATTAATGTTCGTGAAAAAAAAGTTTAAATTTTTTTACACTTTTTAGGGAAAACAAATTAAATATTTAATTACCAATTGCTTAATACTGCAGACAATCATCTGACCCATAGGTGGCAGCCATCTCAAGCCAGAGGACGAGAGGACTCTAGCCGCCACGCATATAAAGGATTTATAGTGAAAAACTTTGTTTTTACGGGTTTACTTGTTTATTCTTTATATGGTTGGCAAATGACAAATTTAAAATCATTTTTTATATTTTAATACAAAAAAGTAACCCCAGTTACAAAGGTCAACGGTAACCCAGCCAATGACGCCAAATTTAATTATTTATAAAGATACTTCTTTACACCGACGCATGTTAAATGTTTTGTGGTATTGATAACAGTTAATAATCGTTGAGCAGAACCGTAAGAGATCTATGTTCATTACAAAATAAGCAAATAGTATTAACCTTTTATAGAACTCAGCCGCTTCCGTTACTCGTGCAAATGACGTCCGCAATGCTGATGCAATACAGGATCGCAATTCGCTGTCCTCGAAATTCCAAAAATGATTTATTTATCTGTGCGAAGGCAATCCATGACACTATTATCCAACAAACTTTAACCAGCCCGTCACAAACCAAATAAATAACATTTAAACTTAATATTTTAGAATATAAAAGATAACTTCCGCCCGAGATTCGAAGAAGCCGGAAGTGACGTCACGTCTTCAAAAAGGGCGGGAAAGCGTTGCCCACCCACCGCTCGCTCGCGGTCTGAGGGGGAATCGCGAAACCCGATCAAGTTTTAAGAACCGATAACCGAATAAACAAACAAGGGGGGGGGGACAATGTACATCAAGGCGATCGTGCTGGACGGCTTCAAGTCGTACGCCCAACGCACAGAGATCTGCGACTGGGATCCGCTGTTCAACGCCATCACGGGGCTCAATGGAAGCGGCAAATCCAACATCCTGGACGCCGTTTGCTTCGTGCTCGGCATCTCCAACCTGTCTCAGGTGAACCTAGTCTGGCACCAGGGTTTGTGTGAACCTTGCCCGGTACCAGTAGGAGAGCGAGCGTGAAGAAAGTGCGTGTGTGAGGATAGCGGTAGAGTGTCAGACGGTGTCTCTGCGAGTCCACGGCGCGGTGTGTAGTAAACATCGCCAGCACTGGGGAGACAAAGGCGGCCGGGCGTGGTGCTGGCCGCCCACCCGCTCGTGTGCCACAGTGCCGGCCTTCATAGGTGCTACTCGCTAACAGCACTTGCCCCTACAGTTTCTTCAGGCTATACGGGGGATCTTTGTCTCTGTGTGTTCACCTAGCCTGGTGCAGTGTGAGGGAGAGGGCGTGCTTCGTGCTGAGCATCTTAAACCTGTATCAGGCGAACCTAGCCTGGCACCAGAGAGTGTGAGTGGTGTGTGCACCTAGCCTGGTACCAATGAGAGGGAGAGTGTGAGAATGGCGGGTGAGAGAGCAAGAGAATGAGCAGAGCGGGAGTGTGTACGTGAACCTAGCCTGGCACCAGGGTGAGGGAGAGATTGTGAGAAGTGCTTGATTGTGTGTGAACCTGGCCTGACACGAGAGAGACAGTGTGCACCTAGCCTGGCACTAGTGTGAGGGAGAGTGTGTGCTTTGTGCTGGGCATCTTCAACTTGTCTCAAGTGAACCTAACCTGGCACCAGTGAGAACGAGAGTGAGGAGAGTGGGAGTGTGTGTGTGAACCTAGCCTAGCATCAGTCAGAGAGTGTGTGTGTGTGAACCTAGCCTAGCATCAGTCAGAGAGTGTGTGTGTGTGAACCTAGCCTAGCATCAGTCAGAGAGTGTGTGTGTGTGAGCCTAGCCTAGCATCAGTCAGAGAGTGTGTGTGTGTGAACCTAGCCTAGCATCAGTCAGAGAGTGTGTGTGTGTGTGAACCTAGCCTAGCATCAATCAGAGAGTGTGTGTGTGTGTGAACCTAGCCTAGCATCAGTCAGAGTGTGTGTGTGTGAACCTAGCCTAGCATCAGTCAGAGAGTGTGTGTGTGTGAACCTAGCCTAGCATCAGTCAGAGTGTGTGTGTGTGAACCTAGCCTAGCATCAGTCAGAGAGTGTGTGTGTGTGAACCTAGCCTAGCATCAGTCAGAGAGTGTGTGTGTGTGAACCTAGCCTAGCATCAGTCAAGAGAGTGTGTGTGTGTGAACCTAGCCTAGCATCAGTCAGAGAGTGTGTGTGTGTGAACCTAGCCGAGCATCCAGTCAGAGAGTGTGTGTGTGTGTGAACCTAGCCGAGCATCCAGTCAGAGAGTGTGTGTGGTGTGAGCCTAGCCTAGCATCAGTCAGAGAGTGTGTGTGTGTGAACCTCGCCTAGCATCAGTCAGAGAGTGTGTGTGTGTGTGTGAACCTAGCCTAGCATCAGTCATGAGAGTGTGTGTGTGTGAACCTAGCCTAGCATCAGTCAGAGAGTGTGTGTGTGTGAACCTAGCCTAGCATCAGTCAGAGAGTGATGTGTGTGTGAACCTAGCCTAGCATCAGTCAGAGAGTGTGTGTGTGTGAACCTAGCCTAGCATCAGTCAGAGAGTGTGTGTGTGTGTGAACCTAGCCTAGCATCAGTCAGAGAGTGTGTGTGTGTGTGAACCTAGCCTAGCATCAGTCAGAGAGTGTGTGTGTGTGAGCCTAGCCAGCATCAGTCAGAGAGTGTGTGTGTGTGAACCTAGCCTAGCATCAGTCAGTGTGTGTGTGTGAACCTAGCCTAGCATCAGTCAGAGAGTGTGTGTATGTGAACCTAGCCTAGCATCAGTCAAGAGAGTGTGTGTGTGTGAGCCTAGCCTAGCATCAGTCAGAGAGTGTGTGTGTGAGCCTAGCATCAGTCAGAGAGTGTGTGTGTGTGTGAACCTAGCCTAGCATCAGTCAGAGAGTGTGTGTGTGTGCCTAGCATCAGTCAGAGAGTGTGTGTGTGTGAACCTAGCCTAGCATCAGTCAGAGAGTGTGTGTGTGTGAACCTAGCCTAGCATCAGTCAAGAGAGTGTGTGTGTGTGAACCTAGCCGAGCATCAGTCAGAGAGTGTGTGTGTGTGAGCCTAGCCTAGCATCAGTCAGATAGTGTGTGTGTGTGAACCTAGGCTAGCATCAGTCAAGAGAGTGTGTGTGTGTGAACCTAGCCTAGCATCAGTCCAGAGAGTGAGTGTGTGTGAACCTAGCCTAGCATCAGTCAGAGAGTGTGTGTGTGTGAACCTAGCCTAGCATCAGTCAGAGAGTGTGTGTGAACCTAGCCTAGCATCAGTCAGAGAGTGAGTGTGTGAACCTAGCCTAGCATCAGTCAGAGAGTGTGTGTGTGTGAACCTAGCCTAGCAGCAGTCAGAGAGTGTGTGTGTGTGAACCTAGCCTAGCATCAGTCAAGAGAGTGTGTGTGTGTGAACCTAGCCTAGCATCAGTCAGAGAGTGTGTAGAGGGGTGTGTGTGTAGACCTAGCCTAGCATCAGTCAGAGAGTGTGTGTGTGTGAACCTAGCCTAGCATCAGTCAGAGAGTGTGTGTGTGTGAACCTAGCCTAGCATCAGTCAGAGAGTGTGTGTGTGTGAACCTAGCCTAGCATCAGTCAGAGAGTGTGTGTGTGTGAACCTAGCCTAGCATCAGTCAGAGAGTGTGTGTGTGTGAACCTAGCCTAGCATCAGTCAGAGAGTGTGTGTGTGTGAACCTAGCCTAGCATCAGTCAGAGAGTGTGTGTGTGTGAACCTAGCCTAGCATCAGTCAGAGAGTGTGTGTGTGTGAACCTAGCCTAGCATCAGTCAGAGAGTATGTGTGTGTGAACCTAGCCTAGCATCAGTCAGAGAGTGTGTGTGTGTGAACCTAGCCTAGCATCAGTCAGAGAGTGTGTGTGTGTGAACCTAGCCTAGCATCAGTCAGAGAGTGTGTGTGTGAACCTAGCCTAGCATCAGTCAGAGAGTGTGTGTGTGTGAACCTAGCCTAGCATCAGTCAAAGAGAGTGTGTGTGTGTGAACCTAGCCTAGCATCAGTCAGAGAGTGTGTGTGTGGTGACCTAGCCTAGCATCAGTCAGAGAGTGTGTGTGTGTGAACCTAGCCTAGCATCAGTCAGAGAGTGTGTGTGTGTGAACCTAGCCTAGCATCAGTCAGAGAGTGTGTGTGTGACCTACCTACATCAGTCAGAGTGTGTGTGTGTGAGACTAGCCTAGCATCAGTCAGAGAGTGTGTGTGTGTGTGAACCTAGCCTAGCATCAGTCAGAGAGTGTGTGTGTGAACCTAGCTTAGCATCAGTCAGAGAGTGTGTGTGTGTGAACCTAGCCTAGCATCAGTCAGAGAGTGTGTGTGTGTGAACCTAGCCTAGCATCAGTCAAGAGAGTGTGTGTGTGTGAACCTAGCCTAGCATCAGTCAGAGAGTGTGTGTGTGTGACCTAGCCGAGCATCAGTCAGAGAGTGTGTGTGTGTGAACCTAGCCTAGCATCAGTCAGAGAGTGTGTGTGTGTGAGCCTAGCCTAGCATCAGTCAGAGAGTGTGTGTGAACTTAGCCTTGATGCAGCTAATCTGGCTGTGACGGTCCCACCTGATGACGGAGACTTGTGTTGCCTCCGAAACGTCGTGATCTTTATTTTATTTTTTATTAATTTTGATGTTTTACCTACGTGACTTTACCGAAAAAACCTAGGAATATGAATCCTTGCAGTCACGAAAGCTTCAAATCTAGAATTAGCCTTGTATCGTTTAACACGTAGAATTTCGCGACCAATATCAATAATACATGTTTTTTTGCGTTGGATCGAAAGGTTTTGGGTTAGATTGATCGTGAGAGTGTGTGTGCGAACCTCGCCTGGCACTATGGTGAGGGATTCATATTCCTGGTTCTTTCGGTAAAGTCACATAGAAGGGAAATAAAATAAAACATAAAATTATCACGACGTTTTGGCCACAACGCAAGCAGGTGAAGAATCAGAGCTGTCGGAAAGACAGCGTCTTAATGAACACTGCTAAGCTTGGCAGCGTATTTTAAGCTGGGTGGGAGGAGGAGAGCGCCTTGACAAAGGAGTTTACATATCAACAGAGGAATTTAGCATATTGATGACATGCAGATATGGGGTTAGTCACTCCTTACGGAATGTGTAGGCGGTGGGGGGTCTCAAAGTCATATTATGCTCGTGTGTTATGTAGGATTAGCAGTAATAAAGGTAGGTACATTTTAATAATAAAAAACTGCGGCAGCCAAACCACCGCGTATCAAGTTAGTGCATTACGTGGAAAAAAAAGAAAGGCGTTTCTGAAGAACTATAAATACCATAACTATCATACAATAAACCGATGTGAAAACAAACCCTAAATATAAACTACATCAATATAATCAATGTACTCAATATACTTTCCAATAAGCTGAGCTATTCACATTAAGTAACTGGGTATACACTACACTATATAATGAATACCATATAGTGAACCGATAAAAAACTAAAATATAAACTACATCAATATAATCAATATACTCTCTAATAAGCTGAGTATACATGTCAACAGAGGAATTTAGCATATTGACGCTAAATAACTGCAATTACCACTACTACCATACAATAAGCCGATGTGAAAAAACTAAATATCAATATAATCAATGTACTCAATCGAAATGTATGGTGAGGGAGTTAGTGAACCAAGCTAGGTACCTGTGAATGAGAGCGAGTGTGAGGGTGACCCAAACGTCAGGACATTATTATACAGTGTAGCCCAAAGTCAGGTCACATTAGATTATTATTATTGTACAGGGTGGCCTCACATTAGGTTATTATTGTACAGTGTAGCCCAAAAGTCAGTACACATTGGGTTATTATTGTAATGGGTTCCGGAGACACTTGCAGAGGTAACTTCTTTATTACAATCCAACACTCCAACATTCCAACTCTCCAACTCTCCAACAGTCCTGATACTCTGTTCCAGCCTAGGTACACAGCCTAGATACTCTACTCTGGCTACGCTCTGGAACTCGCCCTCACAAGGTCGTAGAGTCGGGAGTTACAGAGTCCCACCACTGGCCCTCACAGCGTCCCAGGGTTCTCAGATGGCTGTCTTGGGTCTTGGGTCTTGAGCTACAACTGGCCCTGATCGTCCAGGGAGCTCCCCTTTTATGCCTAGTCCCCAACGAGGGGTGGGGCCGTGTGCGCCCCCAGATATCCCACAGAGCACACACAGCCCCCCCTGTTGGTGGCGCCAAGGGGCCCAAGCGCCTGGGCCGCCCAGGGTCCCAGAGCCCCCAGCAGCCCCTCCTTTCTTATGTCACTACATTATTATTGTACAGTGTAGCCCAAAAGTCAGTACACATTGGGTTATTATTATTGTACAGTGTAGCCCAAAGTCAGTACACATTGGGTTATTATTATTGTACAGTGTAGCCCAAAAGTCAATGCACATTGGGTTATTATTTTCCAGGGTGGCCCAAAAGTCAGGATACAGGGTTATTACACAGGGTGGCCCAAAAGTCATGACACATAGGGTTATGATTATACATGGTGGCCCAAATTCAATTGGTCTCCGCTCGATAAGCGAACATTTTGCTTGTTTTGCTTACAAATGGGTCTAATTTGCTCGTTGTAGCGAATTGTTGTAGAAAGAACACTCTTTAAGCGAGACGTGCCTGTACGGGGTGGCCTTAAATTCAGGACACATTGGGTTAATTCGTATATTTGAACACATTTTCAAACTGACTTTCATTATTAACATTATCAGAATGCATGAATTTTCTTTTGAAATTAATTTACAAGTGTAATCTTTGAGCATTCTCTTTCTCTCTGTGCCTCTCTGTCTCTCTGTGTCTCTTCCTCCCCCTCTGTCACTGCCCCTCTCTCTGTAGGTGAGAGCAGCAAGTCTGCAGGAGCTGGTCTACAAGAACGGCCAGGCTGGCGTTACAAAGGCAACCGTCTCCATTACATTCGACAACCGTGACCGGAAACAGAGCCCCCTGGGGTTCGAAGGCCATGCGGAAATCACCGTCACCAGACAGGCACGCACACCCTTGCCTTTACTCATCCACTCGCTCACTCACCCGCTCACTCACCCACTCGCTCACTCACCCGCTCACTCGCCCACTAACTCACCCACTCACTCACCCACTCACTCTCACTCACTAATTCACCCGGAGAGAGAGGACCACGCGGAGATCCCGGTCACCAGACAGGGACGCAGCGCTTTAAATGTATCTGTGTATTTGTGTGTGCGCATATATATGTACGTGTGGGTGGGTGTGTGTCTCTGTGTCTCAGTGCCCCCTTGTGTCTCTCTGAGTCTTTGTCTGAGTGTCTTTTCTGTGCAGGTGGTGATTGGAGTCTTAGTGTCTCTGCATGTGTCTGCTCTGCCTGCCTCCTCTGTGCAGGTGGTGATTGGCGGCAGGAACAAGTATCTGATCAACGGGGTGAACGCCACCACGGCGCGTGTGCAGGACCTCTTCCGCTCTGTGGGCCTCAACGTCAACAACCCCCACTTCCTCATCATGCAGGTACCTCCTCAACATCACCACTAACACCACCATTACCACCATCATCACCACCGTCATCACCACCATCATCACCATCAATGTCAACAACCCTCACTTTCTCATGCAGACACCTCTTCAACATCATCACCACCGTCATCATCATCACCACCATCAACGTCAACAACCCCCACTTCCTCATAATGTAGGTACCACCTCTACATCATCAATATCATCAGCATCATCGTGCAGGTTAGACTATTATCTCTTGCTCATGAAGGAGATGAGTGGTGAGTGGGTGGTGAGTGAGTGTTTTCTTGTTTTGCAGGGTCGCATCACCAAGGTTTTGAACATGAAGCCTCCTGAGGTGAGGCATTTGCCCTTGCCACCACTCGCCCTTTCCACCATTCACCCACTCATCGTGTCCACCCCTCACCACTGCTCACCCTCATCTCCTCACCTCTCCAGATCCTGGCAACGATTGAGAGACTGCAGGGACTCGTAGCTCTTCTCCTCACCTCTGCTCCTCACCTCTCGTCTCCGCACCTCTTCCCACAACTCCTCACCTTTCCCCACATCTCTCAGTGTCTCTTTTTTCCTCAGCGTCCCTTCCTTTCCTCAACCCCTCTCACCCCCCCTCACCTCACCCCAGATCCTAGCGATGATTGAGGAGGCTGTAGGGACCCATATCTCTGCTCCTCACCTCTCGTCTCCTTACCTCTGCTCCTGACCTCTCCTCACCTCTCCCCAACATCTCCTCACCTCTCCCCATGTCTCTCCTCGTCTCTCTATTCTGTCTCCTCGTCCCCACCCCTCCTCGTCTCTCCTCCTCACCTCTGCCCCTCACCTCACCCCAGATCCTGGCGATGATTGAGGAGGCTGCGGGGACCAGGATGTATGAGAGCAAGAAACTGGCAGCGCAGAAGACTATCGAGAAGAAGGAGGCCAAACTTAAGGAGATCAACGACGTGAGGGGACCTCTCGCTCACCACCTACGCTCACCACCTACGCTCACCACCTACGCTCACCACCTACGCTCACCACCTACGCTCACCACCTATGCTCACCACCTATGCTCACCACCTACACTTACTATGATCCACTTGCCACGAGTGACCCCTATGATCTCATGACCCCTGTCTCCATTTTTCCAGGTTCTGGAGGAGGAAATTTCTCCAACGCTGGAAAAACTCAAACAGGTGAGGCACCGACACTTGCTATACACTGGCAACTCACTCGCCACCCACTCGCCACACACTCACCACTCTCCCCTCCCGCTTCATCCCCAGGAGCGCACCTCCTACCTGGAATACAGCAAGCTGTGCCGGGAGCTGGATTCTCTCCGGCGCCTGGTGATCGCTCACCAGTTCTTCACGGCGAGCCAGGGCCAGGAAAACGCCGCTCTGCACCTCCAGAAGCTGCGTACTGATGAGCAGGAGGCGCGAGAGGAGGTAGAGAGGCTGGAGGAGGAGGAGAAGAAGAGGGAGGGAGAGCTGCGGGAGATGGAGAGGAAAAGGGACAAGGTGAGGATGAGTTGGGGGGAAGAGGAAGAGGGGGAGAGAGAGGTAGGGAGGGAGGGAGAGCTGTGGGAGATGGAGAGGAACATGGTGAGTGTGGGTGAGGGAAGAAGAGGGGGAGGGAGGTGATGTTAATAATGTTGATGATGGTGATGTTGATGGTGTGTAGGAGGCAGGAGGGGATCTGTCCCGTGTGGAGGAGGCCCTGACCCAGGCCCAGCGTGCCCACGCCAAGGCCCAGAGCACCCTGGACATCCGCACAGAGGCCCTGGCTACGGAGCAGGCGCACAGGGAGCAGCTGCTCGCTCACATGCAGGAGGTACCTCCTCGCCGACCTCGGTCACCTCCCTAACTCACCTCTCTCTCACCATGTCTCTCTCTGCAGGCCACATCTCATCCAATCTTTAGTTTCAAACGTCAATTCATGTTTTACTTGTGATATTCAATAAAAAAAATAATTTAGGTAAACTACCGCGATTAAACTACCCCAACATCTAAATACCGCCCCCCCTAAAAAAACCTTATTGCTGCGTTTAAAACAAGTATTTTTATGTTCAGATAATATGAATCATCGTATTACTGATATTTAGAGAGATAAGTGAATGTGTTTTGTGACCAGGTGTATGGGGCTTGGGTGGTCTGTGGAAATGTTTTGCTGAGTGGTCCGCAGGCCAAAAGCTGTTTGAGAAACGCTGCTCTAGACGAGGTGAACTTCACCTCCGGGCTCGCAGGTCGTGTCTCGCTCACAGTGTCTCCCCCTCTCTCGCCCCTTCTCTGCCCCCAGGACGCCAGTGCCCGCGACGCCAAGCGCTCCCAGGTAGTGGCGCTGGAGGCGGCGCTGGCGTCGGCGTTGGCATGCTCCCAGGAAGCGGCGAGGGGCCTGCAAGAAGCTCAGGCGCGCTTCGCGGCGGCCTCGGTGGGCCTCTCGGAGGATGGGCAAGGCGGCCACGCCGCCACGCTGGCCGAGCAGATCCTGAAGTGCCGCCAGGAGGCCAGCCAGGCCCAGACTGAAGCTGCGCAGGCAAGGGAGGAGGCCTCTGGGCCTACTAACTCGTGCATTCACCCACCCGTTCTCATTCGCCGTCCTGGAGTACCCACTCGACAACCCACCCCACCCCGTGCCCCACAGGCTCAGATGAAGCTGTCCCACGTGCAGCGCGAGCTGCAGCAGCGCAAGGCGGAGGAGGGCCGCACCACGGAAGCCTACACTCGCGACCAGCAGGCTCTGTCTCGCTTGAAGACCCGAGCCCAGGGCCTACTCAGGGACATGGCCGCCCTGGGCTACACGGGTAACACGGGGGGTGGAGGAGAAAGGGGAGAGCGTGCAGGAGAGAGTAACGGAGGGAGGGGAGGGGAGAGGAGCGACTCTGGGTGGGGGGGGGGAGAGGGGCGACGTGGAGGGGTTAACGTGCTGCGCTACTACGAACCCGGCAACCCGAGTTTGATTCCCGCTCACGGCCAACACCAGTGACAATTATGTGATCCCTCATTGACCTCCCCTAAGTTGACTCGGCCTTAATTGAGTACCTGTGAATGTCACCATCAAGGGAAACGGGAGGTCTGGTGTGGTGCTGGCCGCCCACCCCCTCGTGTACCACGCAGACCTTAGCAGCACTTGCCCCAACACTGTTGAGGCTATATGGGGGAGCTTTGTCTTTGAGTCTCTGTGTGTTACTCTTTGGTTTTTTCGGACTCTTGTGTTGCGCCCGAAACGTCGTGATTTAATTTAGTTGTGTTCATTTATTTAATTACATTTTTTACCTACGTGACTTTACCGAAAAAACCAAAGGGTATGAATCCTTGCAGTCACGAAAGCTTCAAATCTAGAATCTCTGTGTGTTATTATGCGAGTGGGAAACGGTGGTTAGTGGTTAGCATGCTGCGCGACTATGAACTCAGCAGGAAACCCAAGTTCGATTCCCGCTCACGGCCACCACCACAAGTGGTAATGGTAACGGCAGCAATTATCTGAACAATCGGTCCTGGGCCTCCTCCCCAAGGTCAACTCGGCCTAAAATGAGTACTTGGTGCAGTGTGCAGTAAATATCGCCACTGGAGCAGCTGTGTGTGGCTGTTACCATGGAGACATTGGAGAGGCGAAGCTTAACTACACTATAAACTAAACTATATTTATTTTACCAGGTAAGGCCCCACTGAGCTATGTAGCTCTTTTTCAGAATCGACTTGGCTATAAAAAATGATAGCTCAACGAAGTGGCTTATCACGTGGAAATTTATAGCGTCCAATACTCTAAAGGGGTGATGTTGATTCTAAATGTTGAATGGAAAAACTGGAGGTCCCGGAGAAAAATCCATGCGACCACGGGGAGAGAAACGTGCAAACTCCAAATATACAGCAGGTGTCAGGTTTGGGATTGAACCCACGACTTCCTGTACACCAGGCGAGGTAGTTAACATAACAGGCGGTGTCCAGCTGTAGAGGGGCAGCTGTGTGTAACTGTTATCATGGAGACGGTAGGGAGGCTAACAGGCGGTGTCCGGATGTAGAGGGCCAGCTGGAGATGCTGCAGAAGAAGATGAAGGAGCTGGCCGCGGAGGAGTCGGCGATGAGAGAAAAAGTAGACCGGGCGGTCGCCAGCATGCCCCAGCTCCAGTTTGATTACCGGTGGGTGGATCTATTAATCACCTGCTCAATCATTTACCCATTCACTTGCTCCATCGCCACCACACCCCAGCTCTAGTTTGACTACCGGTGGGTGGGTCTGTTGCTAGCTCACTCACCCACTCGCTCATTCACCCACTCACTCACTAAACTACCCACCCACTCATTCACCTGCTCGCTCATTCACCCACTCATTCACCTGTTCGCTTACTCACCCACTCGCTCATGGTCTTACGCGCTCACTCATGCGCTCCCTCACTCGTTTGCTCGCTAACTCACTCGCTCCCTCACTCACTCGTTCACTTGCTCACTCACACACTCACCTACCCATTCACCTGTTAGCTCGCTCGCTCGCTCACTCGCTCACTCACTACTCTCCCTCTTTTCGTGTTGCCTCCTCTCTCTTCACTCCTCACCCTGCTCCCCACCGCCATGCTCGCGCGTGCCCTGTGCAGGGACCCCGAGCGGGGCTGGGACCGTGGCCGTGTGCGGGGCCTGGTGGCGTCTTTGCTCCGCGTGGAGGATCCTGCATCCGCCACTGCTCTGGAGGTGGTGGCCGGGGGTAAACTCTACAACGTGGTGACTGACACCGAGGTGAGCGCCCACGCTCACCCATGCTCGCCCACACTCGCCCACACCCATCCACCATCGTGGAGGTGGTGGCCGGGGGTAAACTCTACAATGTAATGACCAACACCGTGGTGAGCGCCCAGTCCTCACTCACGCTCACCCACCCTCACCCGGTGAGTGGCTCACCCATGCTCGCTCGCACTCACCGGGGCGAGCAGTCGGTGAGTGAGTTTCTCCGTCTCCCTCCCTGTGTGTCACCGTGTCTCTCTCACTGTGTTGCAGTTGACAGGGAAGCTCCTGCTGGAGCGTGGCTGCCTACGGCGCAGAGTCACGGTGATTCCGCTGAACAAGATCAGCCCCAGCGTCACCCCCCCCAGCGTCACCACCATTGCGCGCAGCCTCGTGAGCACCCTGCCGTGTCTCCCCTCCGTGTCTCCTCACCGTGATCTCCCCGTGTCTCTCTCCTCACCCCCGTGATCTCCACGTGTCTTCTATGTCCCCGTGTCTCCTTCCCGTGTCCCTGTCTCCTCACCCTCCGCATCTCTCTCCTCACTCACCATGTCTCCCCCCTCACCCCCCGTATCTCCCTCCTCACCCCCCCCACGTCTCACCCCCCTGCGTCTTCCCCCCCTCACCCCCCGCATCTCACCCCCCGCGTCTCACCCCTCCCGTCCCTGCGTCTTCCCCCCCCCCCCCTCATTCCCCACATCTGACCCCCCACGTCTCCCCCCTCACCCCTTCCGAGTCTTCATCGTCACCCCCCCCCTGCGTTTCCCCACTCTCCCCTGCCGCATCTCCCCCAGGCGGACGGTGTCTCTCCCGCGCTGTCCCTCGTGTCTCCGCGCTCTCCCTGTGATCTCCCTGCGCTGGAGTTTGTTTTCGGCGCGGCGTTCGTCTGCCCGACGATGGACGCGGCGCGTGCCGTGGCCTTCGACCCTCGGGTGTCCACGCGGGCGGTGACGCTGGACGGGGACTCCTTCAGTCCGCACGGCACACTCACTGGGGGGGCGCGGGCACAGGTAGGTCACTCGCCACCACCACGCTTGCCACCACGCTCACACCACTATTACCATCACTCGCCACGGGGGCAGCGACGCTGGATGGAGGCTTCTTCAGCCCACACGGCACGCACACGAGTGGGGGGGCGGGCACAGGTGGGTCGCTCACCACCACCACACTCACTACTATCACCGCCACGCTCACCACCCCCCCTGGGTGTGCAGGTGGTGAGCGTGCTGGTGAGAGTGGAGCAGCTGCTCACCCTGCAGGATAAGCTTAAAGAGTTGGAGGAGAAGGGGAAGAGGATGGACGAGGAGGCTCGCACACTCACCAAGCTCGCAGAGAGGTGAGCGTGGTGAGGGGGCAGGTGAGGATTGTGGAGGGGAGTGATGGGCTAGGAATGTGGTGGAGAAGGGGTGGTGAGGAGTGGGGAAGAGGCTTCCTCGCTCACCCAGCTCGTCGAGCGGTGGGGGGGTCAGGAACGTGATGAAGAGTGTGGGGAGGTGGGTTGAGATGAGGAGGGGTGTAGGGAGATGAGTGGGTGGTGGGGAGGGTAGTGCAGGAGCATGGTGAGGAGTTTGGAGAGTGGGGGTGAGGAGCGGAGGAGGATGAAGGAAGCTCGCACACTCTGCCAGCTTGCGGAGCGGTGCGGAGTGTAGAAGGGGAGGCTGGATGAGGAGTGTAAAGGGTGTTGTGGGGGGATAGGAGCATGGTGAGAGCAGGAGTGGAGTGGGGAGGAGAGTGACTGTGTCTATCCGTTTCTCTTTCTCTTTCAGGCACCGTGAGCTGTGCCAGCAGCAGGAGTTGGTGGCGCAGGAGGTGGAGCAGCTGCAGCAGAAGCTGGAGCTCAGCACTCACCACAAGCTCCAGACGGAGCTCGCCGCGCTCGCCACCTCCATCGGTGAGCCACTCACCCATCCACTCACCCATCCACTCACCCAGACACTCACCCAGACACTCACCCAGACACTCACCCAGACACTCACCCATCCACTCACCCATCCACTCACCCATCCACTCACCCAGACACTCACCCATCCACTCACCCAGACACTCACCCAGACACTCACCCAGACACTCACCCATCCACTCACCCATCCACTCACCCATCCACTCACCCATCCACTCACCCAGCCACTCACCCATCCACTCACCCATCCACTCACCCAGCCACTCACCTATCCACTCACCCATCCACTCACCCAGACACTCACCCAGACACTCACCCATCCACTCACCCAGACACTCACCCAGACACTCACCCAGACACTCACCCAGACACTCACCCAGACACTCACCATCCACTCACCCAGACACTCACCCAGACACTCACCCAGACACTCACCATCCACTCACCCAGACACTCACCCAGACACTCACCATCCACTCACCCAGACACTCACCATCCACTCACCCAGACACTCACCCAGACACTCACCATCCACTCACCCAGACACTCACCCAGACACTCACCCAGACACTCACCCACTCACCCAGACACTCACCCAGACACTCACCCAGACACTCACCCATCCACTCACCCAGCCACTCACCCATCCACTCACCCATCCACTCACCCATCCACTCACCCAGACACTCACCCAGACACTCACCCAGACACTCACCCAGACACTCACCCAGACACTCACCATCCACTCACCCAGACACTCACCCAGACACTCACCCAGACACTCACCCAGACACTCACCATCCACTCACCCAGACACTCACCATCCACTCACCCAGACACTCACCATCCACTCACCCAGACACTCACCCAGACACTCACCTCACTCACCAACACTCACCCAGACACTCACCCAGACACTCACCCACTCACCCAGACACTCACCCAGACACTCACCCAGACACTCACCCAGACACTCACCCATCCACTCACCCAGCCACTCACCCATCCACTCACCCAGACACTCACCCATCCACTCACCCAGACACTCACCCAGACACTCACCATCCACTCACCCAGACACTCACCCAGACACTCACCCAGACACTCACCCATCCACTCACCCAGACACTCACCCAGACACTCACCCACTCACCCAGACACACACCCAGACACTCACCCAGACACTCACCCAGACACTCACCATCCACTCACCCAGACACTCACCCAGACACTCACCATCCACTCACCCAGACACTCACCATCCACTCACCCAGACACTCACCCAGACACTCACCCAGACACTCACCCAGACACTCACCATCCACTCACCCAGACACTCACCCAGACACTCACCCAGACACTCACCCATCCACTCACCCACTCACCCAGACACTCACCCAGACACTCACCCAGACACTCACCCAGACACTCACCATCCACTCACCCAGACACTCACCCAGACACTCACCCAGACACTCACCCAGACACTCACCCATCCACTCACCCAGACACTCACCCAGACACTCACCCAGACACTCACCCACTCACCCAGACACTCACCCAGACACTCACCCAGACACTCACCATCCACTCACCCAGACACTCACCATCCACTCACCCAGACACTCACCATCCACTCACCCAGACACTCACCCAGACACTCACCCAGACACTCACCATCCACTCACCCAGACACTCACGCAGACACTCACCATCCACTCACCCAGACACTCACCCAGACACTCACCCAGACACTCACCCAGACACTCACCATCCACTCACCCAGACACTCACCCAGACACTCACCCAGACACTCACCCAGACACTCACCCAGACACTCACCATCCACTCACCCAGACACTCACCCAGACATTCACCATCCACTCACCCAGACACTCACCATCCACTCACCCAGACACTCACCCAGACACTCACCCACTCACCCAGACACTCACCCAGACACTCACCCAGACACTCACCCAGACACTCACCCAGACACTCACCCATCCACTCACCCATCCACTCACCCATCCACTCACCCAGACACTCACCCATCCACTCACCCAGACACTCACCCAGACACTCACCCAGACACTCACCCAGACACTCACCCAGACACTCACCATCCACTCACCATCCACTCACCCAGACACTCACCCAGACACTCACCCAGACACTCACCCAGACACTCACCCAGACACTCACCCAGACACTCACCCAGACACTCACCCATCCACTCACCCAGCCACTCACCCATCCACTCACCCAGACACTCACCCATCCACTCACCCAGACACTCACCCAGACACTCACCATCCACTCACCCAGACACTCACCCAGACACTCACCCAGACACTCACCATCCACTCACCCAGACACTCACCCAGACACTCACCCAGACACTCACCCACTCACCCAGACACTCACCCAGACACTCACCCAGACACTCACCCAGACACTCACCATCCACTCAACCAGACACTCACCATCCACTCACCCAGACACTCACCATCCACTCACCCAGACACTCACCCAGACACTCACCCAGACACTCACCCAGACACTCACCATCCACTCACCCAGACACTCACCCAGACACTCACCATCCACTCACCCAGACACTCACCCAGACACTCACCCAGACACTCACCCAGACACCCAGACACTCACCCAGACACTCACCCAGACACTCACCCACTCACCCAGACACTCACCCAGACACTCACCCAGACACTCACCCAGACACTCACCCAGACACTCACCCAGACACTCACCCACTCACCCAGACACTCACCCAGACACTCACCCAGACACTCACCCACTCACCCAGACACTCACCCAGACACTCACCCAGACACTCACCCAGACACTCACCCAGACACTCACCATCCACTCACCCAGACACTCACCCAGACACTCACCATCCACTCACCCAGACACTCACCATCCACTCACCCAGACACTCACCCAGACACTCACCCAGACACTCACCCAGACACTCACCATCCACTCACCCAGACACCCAGACACTCACCATCCACTCACCCAGACACTCACCATCCACTCACCCAGACACTCACCCAGACACTCACCCAGACACTCACCCAGACACTCACCATCCACTCACCCAGACACTCACCCAGACACTCACCCAGACACTCACCCAGACACTCACCCAGACACTCACCCAGACAATCACCATCCACTCACCCAGACACTCACCATCCACTCACCCAGACACTCACCCAGACACCCACCACCAGAAGCTGGAGATCAGCACTCACCACAAGCGCCAGACAGAGCTCGCCGCGCTCACCACCTCCATCGATGAGCCACTCGCCTCCCCACTCACCCAGACACTCACCCATCCACTCACCCAGACAATCACCATCCACTCACCCAGACACTCACCATCCACTCACCCAGACACTCACCCAGACACCCACCACCAGAAGCTGGAGATCAGCACTCACCACAAGCGCCAGACAGAGCTCGCCGCGCTCACCACCTCCATCGATGAGCCACTCGCCTCCCCACTCACCCAGACACTCACCCATCCACTCACCCAGACACTCACCATCCACTCACCCAGACACTCACCCAGACACTCACCATCCACTCACCCAGACACTCACCCAGACACTCACCATCCACTCACCCAGACACTCACCCAGACACTCACCCAGACACTCACCCATCCACTCACCCAGACACTCACCCAGACACTCACCATCCACTCACCCAGACACTCACCATCCACTCACCCAGACACTCACCCAGACACTCATCATCCACTCACCCAGACACTCACCCAGACACTCACCATCCACTCACCCAGACACTCACCCAGACACTCACCACCAGAAGCTGGAGATCAGCAGTCACCACAAGCTCCAGACAGAGCTCACCGCGCTCACCACCTCCATCGGTGAGCCACTCGCCTCCCCACTCACCCATCCACTCACCCAGACACTCACCCAGACACTCACCCAGCCACTCACCCATCCACTCACCCAGACACTCACCCATCCACTCACCCAGACACTCACCCAGACACTCACCCAGACACTCACCCAGACACTCACCCAGACACTCACCCATCCACTCACCCAGACACTCACCCAGACACTCACCCACTCACCCAGACACACACCCAGACACTCACCCAGACACTCACCCAGACACTCACCATCCACTCACCCAGACACTCACCCAGACACTCACCATCCACTCACCCAGACACTCACCATCCACTCACCCAGACACTCACCCAGACACTCACCCAGACACTCACCATCCACTCACCCAGACACTCACCCCAGACACTCACCCAGACACTCACCCATCCACTCACCCACTCACCCAGACACTCACCCAGACACTCACCCAGACACTCACCCAGACACTCACCCAGACACTCACCCAGACACTCACCCAGACACTCACCCACTCACCCAGACACTCACCACTCACTCACCCAGACACTCACCCAGACACTCACCCATACACTCACCCAGACACTCACCCACACACTCACCCAGACACTCACCCACTCACCCAGACACTCACCCAGACACTCACCCAGACACTCACCATCCACTCACCCAGACACTCACCAATCCACTCACCCAGACACTCACCATCCACTCACCCAGACACTCACCCAGACACTCACCCAGACACTCACCATCCACTCACCCAGACACTCACGCAGACACTCACCATCCACTCACCCAGACACTCACCCAGACACTCACCCAGACACTCACCCAGACACTCACCCAGACACTCACCATCCACTCACCCAGACCACTCACCCAGACACTCACCCAGACACTCACCATCCACTCACCCAGACACTCACCCAGACATTCACCATCCACTCACCCAGACACTCACCATCCACTCACCCAGACACTCACCCAGACACTCACCCAGACACTCACCCACTCACCCACTCACCCAGACACTCACCCAGACACTCACCCAGACACTCACCCAGACACTCACCCATCCACTCACCCATCCACTCACCCAGACACTCACCCATCCACTCACCCATCCACTCACCCAGACACTCACCCAGACACTCACCCAGACACTCACCCAGACACTCACCCAGACACTCACCATCCACTCACCATCCACTCACCCAGACACTCACCCAGACACTCACCCAGACACTCACCCAGACACTCACCCATCCACTCACCCAGACACTCACCCAGACACTCACCCATCCACTCACCCAGCCACTCACCCATCCACTCACCCATCCACTCACCCAGACACTCACCCAGACACTCACCATCCACTCACCCAGACACTCACCCAGACACTCACCATCCACTCACCCAGACACTCACCATCCACTCACCCAGACACTCACCCAGACACTCACCCAGACACTCACCATCCACTCACCCCAGACACTCACGCAGACACTCACCATCCACTCACCCAGACACTCACCCAGACACTTACCCAGACACTCACCCAGACACTCACCCAGACACTCACCATCCACTCACCCAGACACTCACCCAGACACTCACCATCCACTCACCCAGACACTCACCATCCACTCACCCAGACACTCACCCAGACATTCACCATCCACTCACCCAGACACTCACCATCCACTCACCCAGACACTCACCCACTCACCCAGACACTCACCCACTCACCCAGACACTCACCCAGACACTCACCCAGACACTCACCCAGACACTCACCATCCACTCACCCAGACACTCACCCAGACACTCACCCAGACACTCACCCAGACACTCACCCAGACACTCACCCAGACACTCACCATCCACTCACCCAGACACTCACCATCCACTCACCCAGACACTCACCCAGACACTCACCACCAGAAGCTGGAGATCAGCACTCACCACAAGCGCCAGACAGAGCTCGCCGCGCTCACCACCTCCATCGATGAGCCACTCGCCTCCCCACTCACCCAGACACTCACCCAGACACTCACCATCCACTCACCCAGACACTCACCCAGACACTCACCATCCACTCACCCAGACACTCACCCAGACACTCACCCAGACACTCACCATCCACTCACCCAGACACTCACCCAGACACTCACCCAGACACTCACCCATCCACTCACCCAGACACTCACCCAGACACTCACCATCCACTCACCCAGACACTCACCATCCACTCACCCAGACACTCACCCAGACACTCATCATCCACTCACCCAGACACTCACCCAGACACTCACCATCCACTCACCCAGACACTCACCCAGACACTCACCACCAGAAGCTGGAGATCAGCAGTCACCACAAGCTCCAGACAGAGCTCACCGCGCTCACCACCTCCATCGGTGAGCCACTCGCCTCCCCACTCACCCAGCCACTCACCCAGACACTCACCCAGACACTCACCCATCCACTCACCCAGACACTCACCCAGACACTCACCCAGACACTCACCCATCACTCACCCAGACACTCACCCAGACACTCACCCAGACACTCACCCAGACACTCACCCACTCACCCAGACACTCACCCAGACACTCACGCAGACACTCACCCAGACACTCACCATCCACTCACCCAGACACTCACCCAGACACTCACCCAGACACTCACCATCCACTCACCATCCACTCACCCAGACACTCACCCAGACACTCACCATCCACTCACCCAGACACTCACCATCCACTCACCCAGACACTCACCCAGACACTCACCATCCACTCACCCAGACACTCACCCAGACACTCACCCAGACACTCACCCAGACACTCACCCACTCACCCAGACACTCACCCAGACACTCACCCAGACACTCACCCAGACACTCACCCAGACACTCACCATCCACTCACCCAGACACTCACCATCCACTCACCCAGACACTCACCATCCACTCACCCAGACACTCACCCAGACACTCACCCAGACACTCACCATCCACTCACCCAGACACTCACGCAGACACTCACCATCCACTCACCCAGACACTCACCCTGACACTCACCCAGACACTCACCCAGACACTCACCCAGACACTCACCATCCACTCACCCCAGACACTCACCCAGACACTCACCCAGACACTCACCATCCACTCACCCAGACACTCACCCAGACACTCACCATCCACTCACCCAGACACTCACCATCCACTCACCCAGACACTCACCCAGACACTCACCCAGACACTCACCATCCACTCACCCAGACCACTCACCCAGACACTCACCCAGACACTCACCCATCCACTCACCCAGACACTCACCCAGACACTCACCCACTCACCCAGACACTCACCCCAGACTCTCACCCAGACACTCACCCAGACACTCACCCACTCACCCAGACACTCACCCAGACACTCACCCAGACACTCACCCAGACACTCACCCAGACACTCACCATCCACTCACCCAGACACTCACCCAGACACTCACCATCCACTCACCCAGACACTCACCATCCACTCACCCAGACACTCACCCAGACACTCACCCAGACACTCACCCAGACATTCACCATCCACTCACCCAGACACCCAGACACTCACCATCCACTCACCCCAGACACTCACCATCCACTCACCAGACACTCACCCAGACACTCACCATCCACTCACCCAGACACTCACCCAGACACTCACCAGACACTCACCCATCCACTCACCCAGACAATCACCCAGACACTCACCATCCACTCACCCAAACACTCACCATCCACCTCACCCAGACACTCACCCAGACACTCACCACCAGAAGCTGGAGATCAGCACTCACCACAAGCGCCAGACAGAGCTCGCCGCGCTACCACCTCCATCGATGAGCCACTCGCCTCCCCACTCACCCAGACACTCACCCATCCACTCACCCAGACACTCACCATCCACTCACCCAGACACTCACCCAGACAACTCACCATCCACTCACACAGACACTCACCCAGACACTCACATCCAACCCAGACACTCACCCAGACACTCACCCAGACACTCACCCAGACACTCACCCCCCCAGACACTCACCCAGACACTCACCATCCACTCACCCAGACACTCACCATCCACTCACCCAGACACTCACCCAGACACTCATCATCCACTCACCCAGACACTCACCCAGACACTCACCATCCACTCACCCAGACACTCACCCAGACACTCACCACCAGAAGCTGGAGATCAGCAGTCACCACAAGCTCCAGACAGAGCTCATCGCGCTCACCACCTCCATCGGTGAGCCACTCACCCATCCACTCACCCAGACACTCACCATCCACTCACCCAGACACTCACCCAGACACTCACCATCCACTCACCCAGACACTCACCCAGACACTCACCCAGACACTCACCACCAGAAGCTGGAGCTCAGCAGTCACCACAAGCTCCAGACGGAGCTCACCGCGCTCACCACCTCCATCGGTGAGCCACTCGCCTCCCCACTCACCCAGACACTCACCCAGACACTCACCCAGACACTCACCCAGACACTCACCCAGACACTCACCCAGACACTCACCCAGACACTCACCCAGACACTCACCCAGACACTCACCCATCCACTCACCCATCCACTCACCCATCCACTCACCCAGACACTCACCCAGACACTCACCCAGACACTCACCCAGACACTCACCCAGACACTCACCCAGACACTCACCCAGACACTCACCCAGACACTCACCACCAGAAGCTGGAGCTCAGCAGTCACCACAAGCTCCAGACGGAGCTCACCGCGCTCACCACCTCCATCGGTGAGCCACTCGCCTCCCCACTCAACACTTTCATCGGTGAGCTGCTTCCTCCCCCTCTCCCCAAATCTGTGTCTCTCGCTATACATCTCACTCTCTCTCTCCACGTGTCTCTTTCTCCCTCTCTTTGTCCGCTTTTTCCCCCGTCTCCCTTTCCGTGTAGAGGAGGTGAGGAGAGAACAATGTGTGTCTCTCTCTCTCTCCCTGTATCCCTGTATCCTCCCTCCTTCCCTCCCTATATCTCCCCGGGTCTCCGCTCCGACTCTCCATGTCTCTCCGTGTGTGTCTCTCTCTGCCCATCTCTGTTGCTCTCCGTGTGTCACTCTCTCTCTCACCCTCTCTCGTTTTCCCTCTCTCTCCCTGTTTCTCTTTAGCAGTGTCTTTTTCACCTTTACCCACTCTGTGCGTCTCTCCCCCTCTTTTTTCCTTTCCCCACCCCCTCTCTCCCTTCTCTCTCCCTCTCTGTAGAGGAGCTGAGTGCGGCGCCTGCTCTCTGCGAGGAGCGGAGAGCGGCCGCGTTGCAGCGCCTCCACTCCCTGGAGGAGCGACTCCAGAACGCCGAGCGGGACCGGCGCCACGAGCAGGAGGGGGCCTCTAGCGCCCTCGAGTTGGCACGGGGGACAGCCCAGAAGCTAGCGGGGATCGCCAGGGAGGCACAGCAGGTGAGGTGGTGGTGAGGGGGTGGGTGGCAGGTTGAGGGAGTGGTTGGGTGGGTAAATTAGGTGATGGGTAGGTGAGTTGGGTGAATTAATGAGTGGGAGGGTGGGTAGGTCAATTGATGGATGGGTGAATTAATGCACGAGTGTGAGAGTAAGCAAGCAGATGGTGCATGAGCTTTTGGGAGGGTGATTGGGTGAATTAAGTGGGTCATTGAGTGAGTGAACTCTAACCCCCCCCCCTTGCCAGTCTCTGTCCACTGTCAGGCTGGAGGTGGAGGAGCTCGAGAAGGAGGCGCTGGTGGGGCAGCAGGAGCTGCAGAGGCTGGAGGCGGCCACGCTCTCGCTGGAGGTGACCGTCCGGGAGCTCAGCGCCTCTGCTGAGAGCTTGCAGGTATCTACCTGCTCACTCGCCTACCCACACACTCACCTTCCCACATACTCACCTACCCAATCACTTTTTTTTTTTACCTGGAAAGGCCCACTGAGATTTTTTCAGACGTGACCTGGCCAAAGAATTATACCCCAATGCAGTGGCTTATTACGTGGAAATTTATAGTAGCCAAATACTCAATGCATATTTCTAAATGTGGAAGGAAGAACCAGAGGACCCGGAGAAAAATCCACGCGACCACTGGGAGAGAGACATGCGAATTCCATCAAACCCACAACCTCCTGTATACTGGGTGAGGTAGTTAACATCTTGCCACCCGAGTCGCCCTAATCCACCCCCGTGTCTCTTCTTCTGCCTGTGTGCCACAGGCGCGTGTCTCCGAGTGCCAGCGCCACGTGACGGAGCTCCAGGAGATGCTGCGTGCCCGCCAGGAGGCGCTGGGGGAGGCGGCGCGGGCGCTGGAACAGCTGCGGGCGCAGCGCGGCGCTGCCGCTCTCACCCTGACAGAGCGCGGGCACGCAGTGGGGCGACACCAGCGGGACGCCCTGGACAACGCAGCCAAGGTACCCGCCACTCACTCACTCAACCACTCATTCACTCAACCATTCACTCACTCAACCACTTCATCCCCCACTCACTCGCTCAACCACTCACTCAACTGCTCACTTAACTACTTACTCGCTCGTTTGCTGAACTGCTCTATCAACTGCTTGTTTGCTCAACCGCTCCCTTGCTCAACCGTTCGCTCAACCGCTTGCTCAACCACTCACGCTCAACCACTCGCACTCAACCACTCCCCCACTCACGCTCAATCACTCACTCACCCACTCGACCATTCACTCAGCCGCTCCTGAATCCCCACTAACCCCCTCTCTCTCCTCCCGCTCTCTCTTAGGTGGATCGTCTGCTCAAAGAGAATGCGTGGATCTCCACAGAGCGCGCTCTATTTGGCCGCCCCAACACGGCGTACGACTTCGCCGCCAGCGACCCAAGCGATGCTGCCCGGAAGCTATCGCGCCTGGAGCAGACACGCCGGCGGATGGTGCACACCGTTAACGAGAGGGCCATGAACCTGCTGGCCCAGTCCGAGGAGAAGGTGAGGGAGAGACAGGGGCGGGGAGAGAGAGGCAGGGAGAGGGGGAGATGAGAGAGGGGGACGAGGAAGACACGGGAAGAGTGAGACAGATCCTGAGACTCTGATCCTGTGTGACCCAATGACCCCAGTACGTGGACCTGATGAGGAAGAAGCGGATCGTGGAGAACGACAAAACCAAGATCTTCAGCGCCATGCAGGAGCTGGATCTCAAGAAGAATGAGGCTCTTAACCTGGCCTGGAGACAGGTACCACACTCGCCACTCGCTAACCACTCGCTCACCATGGAGGAGCTGGATCTCAATAATAACAAGGCTCTCTGGCCTGGAGACAGGTCCCATGCTGACCACTCATTCACCACCATACTCTCCAAGCACTCACTCACTATACTCACCACCCACTTACCACGGAGGAGCTGGATCTCAATAAGAACAAGGCCCTCCACCTGGCCGAGAGGCAAGTTCCACGTTCACCATTCACCACCATAATCACCATTCACTCGCCACCATACCAGTCTCTCTCCCCTCATCTCTCCACCCCCGCCCCCCCCCCGCATGCATCTCCCTCTGCCCGCGTGCGTCTCTTTCCAGGTGAATGGAGACTTCAGCTCCATATTCTCCACGCTGCTGCCTGGCTCCCAGGCGCGTCTCACTCCCGTGGAGTCCTCTTCCTCCACCTCCTCCACCTCCTCCACCTCCTCGCTGCTCCAAGGCTTGGAGTTTCGTGTGGCTCTGGGCTCCGTGTGGAAGGAAAATCTGAGCGAGCTGAGCGGAGGCCAGAGGTGAGGGAGGGGTCCCTGTCGGTTGTGTATATATGTGTGTATCTGTGTATTTTTCTCGGTGCTATCCAGGTCCCTGGTGGTGCTCTCTGATCCTGGCGATGCTGCTACCTCTCGGCATATCTCTCTCTATGTTTATCTTTGTATCTCTCTCTCTCTCTGCTGGATAGGTCACTGGTGGCCCTATCCCTGATCCTGGCCATGCTGCTCTTCAAGCCGGCTCCGATTTACATCCTGGACGAGGTGGACGCCGCCCTGGACCTCTCCCACACCCAGAACATCGGACACATGCTGCGCACTCACTTCCTCACCTCGCAGGTACAACAACAGCAGCAGTTGCCAATCGCCATTAAGTGGCGATGACATCACCATGGCGCTTGTGCCAGGCTTCGTGCACTTTAACGCCACGATTACTGTGGAATGCCTGCCGGAAGGAGATCACAGGACGGAGCCAGGTGCTATGGGTTGACTGAGATGACTGGCAGATGCACCACCTGCATGCCCCTTCCTGTGCCAACTTGCTGTGTTTTAGCCGCCCGGCGCTCCGCTTTTTGTTGTTACTTTTCCCCTCATGGTGCTTGTAGCCACTACAGTGGCCAATGGGGGCACTGGATGGATGCAATCGGCTGGTAACCCCTCCACCTTCAATTCATTTACCACTAAATTACGTGAGAAATATCTGTCTGAGCTTTTGCTGGAGGCCCCAGTGGTACAGGCATCTATGAAGACTCGCAGGTACTCACACACACAACAACAACAGACGCCATTCGCCACTAAGCGGCGGTGACGTCGCCACAGCGCTTGTCAGGCCAGATGCACTCTGAAGCCTCGTGAAGTGTCAAAGGCTCGGCAATAGGTGACGGGACAGATGCAGGTGCCATTGGTTGTGCACGGGTGAAATTTGCTTTGCTCAGGCGGTGTTAGCCACTCAGGTTGTGACGGGGTTTCTCTCTTCATTCCTGTTGCCCTGGGCCCCCGGTACTGTTCCTGTTCTGATGTTATGAGCACTGATGCCTACTTCTTTGAGGGCGTATTGGCACGTAAAATAAGATCGATTGTTTGACTTGAGTTGACTGGCAGATGTACCAGCTCTACCCCCTACTGTGCCAAAGTGCTGTAATTTAGCTGCCCAGCACTCGGCTCATTGTTGTGAGGGTTGCTCCTCTGCTCTCCTCTGTTGTTGGAGGGTGACTACCTCCAACTGCCCAGTAGCGTTCTTCACAAGCATCCTCCACAGAGGCCGATCTTAACAGCACTTCAGCAAGTCTACCCAGCTGCACATCCTCCCGTACCTCATCACTCCATGTCTTTTTCAGCCCGTGTCGTGCCCGTTTAGCCCTATCTATGCAGCCAAATAGAAGCAACTTTGCCATGCGGTGGCTGGGCATGCGGGCTCCATAACCCAGCCAATGCAGCCTTGACCACCGGAGCTCACTGATGGGAATGTGTCCAGATCTTTCAAGGATTTGAGAGCTGCTCACATAATCCAGCCTTGTTAAACACAGAATGGATTGTAGGCAGGCCAGTCTGAATGTTTCTAACTGGTGCAGATGTTCCATTAGAGGGGTCCACGTTTCGCACTCGCCCACACACCTACTCAGTCATTCACTCCTACACCCAGAACATCGGACACATGTTGTGCACTCGCTTCTTCACCTTGCAGATACGCTCACATGCACGCTTACCCGTATACCCACTCACCCGTACATTCGCCTGCATAATCCCTCACCCGCACTATGGCTGGACTTCTGTGCCAGGCTAGGTGTTGGTCATGGGACAGACCCCAGGTGCTATGGGTTTGACCCACTGCTATCTCTCCCCATCTCTCTCCCCCCCCCTCCGTCTGTCCCCCCCCCTCCATTTCTGTGTGTCTCCCCCATGTCTCTCTCTCCATCTTGCTCTCCCCATGCCCCCCCTCCATGTCTCTCTTTGTCCCCGTGCAGTTCGTGGTGGTCTCTCTCAAGGATGGGATGTTCAACAACGCCAACGTGCTCTTCAAGACGCGCTTCGTAGAGGGCGTTTCAACGGTGACGCGGCATACCAACGCCACCACCACCTCTCGACCAGCAGCCGCCTCCTCGTCCTCTACGAAGGGAAGGGGAGAGGCAGAGGAGAAAAAGGCAAAGAGAGGGCGACTGGGTGATGAGTAGAGTAGAGGGGAGGAGAGGGGGAGTGGGGAAGAGAGAGACGAGACTAATCTAGATTTGAAGTTTTCGTGACTGCAGGGATCCATACTCTTTGGTTCTTTCGGGAAAGTCACGTAGGTATAAAATAAAATAAATTAAATCACGACGTTTCGGGCGCAACACAAGCGTCCGTCATCAGGTGGGACAACCGCAGAAAGAGACAATTGTTGAAGTGGGCAAAAAGTCTGCTTGAGTGTAGAGACGAGACTGTCCCATCTCTCGTGTATGTTAGAAATCCACGTGGCATATACAAATGGATCGTCATACGACGTCTCTCCTGTCTCATGGTGCTATTCGTGAGAAATCAGCAGGGTATCTGTAAATGAATTGCTTTCATGTCCTTCTCTTTGTGGCTATGGCTGTGTCTCTAATGATGTCGGCGTCTATAATTAATGCTAGAATAAGTGTGGTATCTGTAAATGGATCGATCACTTGACAACTACCGGTCTGCATCTCCAGTTCTGTTTCTCTCGTTATTAGCAATCCGTGTGGTATCTGTAAACGGATCTCTGTCTTTCTCTCATTAGGTCTATTTTGTTATTAAAAGTCAATGGGATATCCTAAAGTGAATTGCTTTAATCTGTCTATTTCTAATTAGTTATCGATAATCAGTGTTGCCACTTCACAATAGAATAAATGTGATATATGTAAATGATTACTAAAAATGTGTATTAGGTATCTTAAATGTCAATGTGAATGTATCACTCTACATCTTCACTCACGTCTCTGCTTGTACAGGAGACCCTTGAATATCACGGGGTTACATTCTTGGAAAATGACGCAAAAGCGAAAATAATGAAGCCTTAACCTACATAATGGTTAGGCACACGGCAACCAAAAAGACTCATCGCAATTGAAATAATGTCTGTACTGTATGACAAATAAACAAAAAACTTAATTTAAATAAACGTGTAAAAACCCGAGACTAAAAACATTCCTAAACAATACTAGGTAGAAATACTGTACTTATCAATGCTCTAAGGCGGGTGGACCTTTGTTCCTACGACTGGGGAGCGAGTGTAACGGCATGAACCTGGTGACGCGCACACCTAACCCCCGTGACGATTATCTGAATCGGCCCTGTGCCTCCCCTAGGTCGACTCAGCCTTAAATGAGTACCTGGTGCGATGTGTAAATGTCACCAATGGGGAGACAAAGGCGGCCGGGCGTGGTGCTGGCAGTTCCGGCCTTCATAGGCGCTCACGAACAGCACTTGCCCCAACAGTGTTAATAGGCGACACGGGGAGTCTGCCAGATGCGAGCACAGCAAAGGTTGAGGTGCCACTGACTGCCTCATCCACCCGACATCACGCAACCAGACAATGATACAGTACTTCCGTGTACAGCATACCCGTCAAAGGCCAAAACTAACCCCGGCGACAGCTACATTGGTATTTACAGGTTGCCTGCGTTAGGTCTCCTGTATACTTGGTAGGGTATCTCTACACGGATCATTATACACCTGAATGTTCCATCTTCCCATGGGATTGTGTGTGGGAATGCCAACGGTGTCATGATTGGCATTTTTGGAGGAGGCTCGTGAAGGATGCTACCGTGATGCTCAAAACAACGACCGGAGTGCCAGGAGGCTAAAATACAGCAAGTTGGCACAGTAGGGGACACAGCTGGTGCCATCTGCCAATCAGTCAACCCATGGCACCTGGGTCTGTCCCATGACCTGTTGGTGAGCCTTCAACACTTCATGGCCTTAGTGTACCTGGCCTGGCACAGGTGCTGTCACTGCCACTTAGTAGTGAATGGCAACTATTGTTGGTTGAGTTGCGGTGAGGGATGTAGACGTGGTTGTGATGGATGCTGCTGTAGTTGTCTGCACACTGCAATAATAAACTGCTTTTGCAAAGTCTCCCCTTCGAGTCACTTGCTACATACCCATTGGGGGGGGGGGGGGGGTGTTATGGGGTTGAGCTTACCAGGAGCTGCTCACTCAAGGCAGGGAGTGTGGAACAAAACGGGGGCAAATGGGTTGGTGGGTGTGAGTGCATGGGTGCATTGGTTCAAGCAGCTGGTTGCTGATACTGAAGCTGGTGCAGAGTTTGCTTGTCTTTGCTAATTGGATTCACACTACCAGATAGCATTGCGCACAGCTGACAGATTGAGTCAAAATATAATTTTATTAATTTGTCAAACATGGGAAGGATACTGTCTGCTATCCATCCTGTACACAAGTTAGTGATAATTATTTTATTATGTTTTATTTTATTATTTATTATTTTTCTTCTACGTGACTTTACTGAAAGAACCAAGAAGATGACTGCCAGTTCACTTTCATCTCTCCACTCTGCCCTTCTATGCCAGGCCTTTTGTCAGCCTACTGCTGGGTCGTGGAGGGTAGTTATTCGACCATACTTCAGTACATTGGTCAGTTCGGCTTGGTGGAGGCGGGTGTTGCATTGATGCTGGAGTATTGTAGAGTAAAATGATGAAAAATAAATGTATTAATAGTACTCTATGATGTGCTGTGAAGAAGGGCCATTCCTGACAAATTGCCGCCATTTTTTCCTGTTAAGGCCACGGTGCTATTGACCAATGTGTTGCGTTGTGCATGTGCACATCACTTCGAAATGCAGCATCACCAAATAATTAGTCAAATAATGAGTTGATCTTGCTGACACTGCAGCCTTGGAGCAGCGTAAAGTGCCGTTTTTATACATGGTGGCCACCCATCCAAGCCTGATCCAGTGCGGGTTGGTGAAGGCGTGGAGCATAGATGTGGAGAGCATAGAGTTTACAGCACAACAACAAATGTTATCTGCGACGTAATGCCGTGGCAATCGACCCTGTAAAAAAATAAAACTGTGAACTCCAGGTGCATGGAGCACGCAGGACACGGGTGACGATGCTGAGCTCGCGAGCGTGAGCAAACAAGTTGTGGAGAAGGCGATTCACCGGGCGGTGCAGCAATACATGCAGGAGAAGGAGCAGCCATCGTGAGCCAAGGAGATCAGGTGGAGCAACCTGGATCGTGACCCGACAGGACAGAGGTCAAAGATGGCCCAATGACGCTGCAGCCGACCCCACGCGGACAACTGAAATATCCTCCTCTTAATCGCGGATGTCCTGTATCGTTCCCGTACCGATCAAGAACAGACAGCAACCTTTGAGGAGTTATTTTTTTTATTAACAGGGGTGTCACGAAGCTTTGAACTTTAGCGTTGACTCCTCTGATGTGGTGGTGATAGACTTTCAAGTACTGCATCTGTTAAATATTAACAGTGCATTCAGGATTATTTGATCCAGATTTCTCTTTTTAATACAAGATGTCAATATCAAGGGTGTTGGTCAGATGATTTTAAACAATCCAGCAGTTATTGTTTGTATTAAATAATGGTATTTTAACATTTACCGTTTTATTACTGTATTACAATGCTTACCCTGCTATGTATTACATAATCACTGTCATACTAATTTACTGTCCTATGCCAATCCACTGCTCGATGAAGATCTCCACAAACCATGTTGGTCACGGGGAATGTTTGACCATAATTGACCACAACAGTCAGTGTGGGTTCATGCAGCGGAGCCTAGAATCAAACCGATTCATGTATCCTGACCACTAATGTTAGCTGTTGGCTGGGAATCGAACTCAGGTAGCCAGGCTCATAGCACAACGTGTTAACCACTTGCTCCACTTCACCCACTATTCTTGTTTGTGGAAATTAAACCTGGAAATATTTATTACACGTTCAATGAGAATCAATTACAGTGTGTGCAATTAGAAATATAGTAGCCTGTATACAAACACATTCCTGCGGAGGGAGCTGATAGGAACGTTGGGTTGCTCGGTCAATGGCCTGCAGGGTCAACGGCGGCGTGGTGTATTCCGCAAATATGCCCGACTGTGAGGGCGGGCACAACTGGCGTGAGTAGGTTAAACGTTGAGTTTTATAAGGGCACCACGGGGGTGACCAGCCCCTCCCCACCCAGCCCCACCCCCCACCCAGCCCCACCCTCCCCACCCAGCCCCCTCCCCACCCTCCCTCCCCACCCAGCCCCTACCTGCACGACGAACGGACGGACACAATAATCCCCTGTGGGCTGGTGGAACCAGTGGATTCCTACCAGTATGATACATTTCACATACAGTGGTAGATTATAAAGCAATGTCATTGATATTATTTTACATTGCATCTGTTCAAATCGTTATTCAATGACCAATTTATTGCACCGTAAACAAAATTAGGCTGCCTCTAACATATATATTCTGCCGTCAATACCAACATAAAAATCTAATTAATACGTTTAATCACAGAGGTTGAAAATACATTGGCATCGTCTACACTTGGATAACAACATATATTTAGAAAGTGCCAAGACCAGCGTGTGGGAATGTAAATAATTAAACAGTCAAGAGTCTGTTTCATTGCCAAAAAAAAATCACTTTTAGGGCCATCAGCCAAACGTCCCCTCTCGTCCAATGTTTCCATCAGTACTTTTAAGTACGCATCTCATCAGCAGTGTGTCTTCTTATTCCAGTCCCATGGCCTTTTTGGACTCTTTCCCTCCACTGATATCTCCTTGCAGCAGCCTTTCCGCTGCTTTCCGCAGGTCGCTGCACCTTTCAACTGTACTTGATCCCGTTCGATGTTTTATGTGTAACGTGTAGTCAAATCGTGGACTTCCTCTTCGCCTGAGCACCTGCAAGTCTTCCGCCAATCGCCATCCCCTTGACAGCCGTTCACCAATTCTTCCTCTTCAATAGCAGGGTGCGGCCGGTTAAAAACGAATTCTGCTGGGTTTACGTACTGTATAGCCATCGTTGGGAGTTCGTTCCCCCCAAAGTAAAATAAAGAGAAGTATAATTGAAATTAATTGAATTTATTAACAGCTGAGTATGGTGTCAAAATTAACTGGGGCATGTGTGGTTAACAATTGCACTTAACGAATTTGGCCACTTGACTGAGTCGAGCGACCGGGTATTTTGACCTCTGTGAGACTGCTAACAAGTAATGTGTATGCAA